CACTACTGTGGTATGTATACTTGAGGTCCTCAACTCTTTTAGTAGTTCTTCTCTTCTCCTAGTGCTTAGTGAATTAGAAAAACAAAGATCTTGCTCCAGTTTATAACTAGTAAAATGACAGAAAATAAAATAGTTCACGACAAGACAGAAAGATGGAGTTGTGTTCTTAATTGAGATATTAATGAGGAATATGTGAAATGTCATATTTAAGTCATTTGAATAAGGTATGCTGGAGGTTCTAGTGCCTCTACCTCTTCATCTTTGCACACCAGATACATATCTATCATAAATGCCGAACTTTTACGTACCTCACGTTTCAAGGCCTTCAAAGATATGCCTAATTTGCATAAGGTAAGTTTGTCTTTTAAGACTTGCATGGTGCCTCCTATCTTGAACTTAATTGTAATTTTCTCAAATCACTTTATCAACTACAACCACTATATCTTGACGATGATGATGATGGTGCCCAGCTGCAATAGAAGGGAGCATTTTGTTATTGTGAGTTTTTGCATCTCTAAGGGTATCTACTTGAGATTCCTTTGTCATGGATAGCTAACCATTGTCTCCCATGACCATGTCATAATTCAACATCACTATCAACATGAATTTTAGGCCTTCCATAAGCTCTAATATGATCTAATTGTGGATGACCCTAAAATCTCTTAGAATCATGAATGCTGTGGACCCACAATGTATTTGAACTTCATGGTCTGAAGTTTGGTGAGTCCCATGACTAAAATGAGGGAGAGTTCCACATGTTTTAGTACCCTCATTTCTTCTCCAATATCTTTTCCATATAGGAGTTCCTCATTTATTTCATCCTCTGCATCTCCATCTAGATCTCAATCATCTTGAAACACCAATAATATATGTAATTCTTGTTTACATATACATGCTAGGTCATATTTCTCATCACAAGAAAAACATATATCTTATGTCATGTTTGCTTGTAGTTATGCCTCTGTAAATTGTAATCATCTATTCTCTCCCCTACAAAGACTTCTACATTATAAAATTATGTTTCCATGCATCCTTGGACCCATGTAAGTCTTTTATAGTGTGGTGGAGCAATGGCCCTTTTGTTATCAGAACATCTCTTTTGCCCCAACTCAGAATTTTTGGTTCCTCCTCCTTTCAAGAAAGAATTTACTCCTTGGACATTAGATTTCACTTGCCTTTGGCCCCCAGCCTTCTGCACACCCAAGTGAACTTGTCTCTCTTCCACCAATTGTGGCATCTCCACAATTACATTTAGGCCAATAGGATTGAGCATGCTAATCATGGTCATGATTTTTGGTTTAAGTCCTCAATAAAAGTACTTAAATCAATTCTGGTTGATTTTAGATTAAAACTTAATCCTTCCTACATAAAATAATTTTTTTGACTCCTAATAATATGTCTAATGCTTTTTGACTACCACATAATTTATCATAATATAATTTTAAATAAAAAATATTTTCTAATTTAATATATTTTTCTTTGGACTATTTTAATTATGCATTCATGTCATTATTCTTTTCCTTAAGTTTATGATTCTTTGAACTTAATTCATATATTATACTCGCATGCACAGTATAACTCATGGCTGAATTAGACGAATCTATTTTGGATCTTTCACTCATATGTTTATCATCATTTTTTTAATTTTTAAATGTCAAGAAAATTATATTCTGATATTGTTTGGTAACAATGGATAATGTTTTCCTAATAAGTGTTTCTTTGTCCTTCCTATCAAGTATGCTCCTAAGATTTTCTTTTTCTTTCTCTAGTCTTTCAGCTAAGGTTGTATTGTGTCTATTTTTGTGTTCAAAAACTTTGATTGAATCTTTAGGTGTCTGATTTTCTTTTATATAACTTTTAGCTTATGTCTAATAATTTCGAATGTATCCATTAATTCATCAAAATATTCTTGCAACTAATCTCCAAATGTAGAGTCAGAATCATATACCTCTAAAGATTTAACCATTAATCAAAGATTTTCTTTTTCTTAACTTCCTTTGTCTGTGCTATAATCACTATCACTCCATGTTACCTCAAATTGTTCCTATATTTTATTTTCTATATCACAACTTGACACATGATTAAATTCAAAAATATTAATGATACTAAGTAAAATATTTATTGTTCTCGTATTCGACGTTGAGGCTTTTTCCTCCATACACTCATCTGATGACTTTTATACACCATCTTTAATCATTTTTCATATCTTTGATCTTTGACATATGAAATGAATCATAACTCTAGTTTTCTAAAATACATAGTTGGTTCCATCAAACATAGGTGGTTTAAGATTAGAGGATTTGATTGTTTCACTAGCCATACAATCTACTCCTTGAGATGTTTTAGTACTTACCTATAAAGGTAAGCTCTGATACCAATTGTAAGTTCAAAAGGGGCTAAGTGAAACACTAAGAGGGGGGGGGAGAATTGGGTTTCTATTAATTTTTGTCAATTTTTATTTTCTATTAGTGTAGATATGCTAACATAGATTCTCTCATAACTCTCATGTTGGTGAGTCTTGATAGAGAGATGTGTAAATAATCGCTGGAGGGTTCACAAACTGTTTTCTTTTTATAGTATTCGTTCTCTAGTTATTTTTGTCTTAAAAAAGAGTTAGTTGATTTCAAGAATCTTGTCATTGTCTAGAATGCATGTCAACAACCTCTTCTGTTTTTCATACTTCAAAACTCTTTATTCATTCATCCATTAAATTTGAAATTTGAATTTGAGATTCACTTCTTCTCAATGACCATTTTGTTGTTGAGGTCAAATCTATATAAGCATGTTTATCCATTGTTGCCTTCATGTAATCTACAAATATGTTACCATCTAGATTCTAGGTTTGGAACTCATGGGAGACTTTGATATTTTATGATTTTCTAGATATACATGTTTAATGTGTCATTGTCTCCATATATGCTACTAATGTATCACCATCCAAACTCAAAGTTCTAGACTCACGAGAGACTTTGATATTTCATAGTTTTTTAAATATTTCATTACGTAAGTTAATGATGTGTCACCGTCCAAATTCCAGGTTTGAGACTCAAGTATGACTTTAATATTTCATGATTTTTCATATATTTCCTCACGATGGTTGATATTAACCCTCATGAACTCATGTATGGAATCTAGGGTGATGCATTTTGAGGTTAGTTCCAACATATATATAAAATAGATTAATCTCAAGGATTAACTCCTTTGACTTGCTTGTTGGTCATAGGATATGATATCATTAATCATCATACATGAAATTAATAAATAAATTTTCATATTGTAATATCAGACCAGCGGTATCAACATATTGATGCGATTTTGATTTAACATCAAGAGCCATGCATGACCTCTCTAATGATGTTCTTTAGGAATTTTTTATCAAAGGAGTCAAACCTTAGATTGTGTAGAAATACATCTCTTAGAACCAGTTGGCCTTCACGCAATCATGAAAGTGACATAGTGTTGAAGATCGCAACTGAATGGTGTTTGATGTCTCCAACACTTCTACTGAGTGCCGCAGCACCCTTACCTCACTATTGACTTCATCTCACAGACTCTGAGCTCTAAGCACGGCAGGCACAAGGTTTATGCTATTCTTGTGATGATAAATATGTACCCGACCACATCTACAAGTAAGAGCTACAAATTCTGCTTATCTCTAATGCATACACATCTCCTGATTTTCACCTTGAGGAGGTGGCATCCGCAGAGGGGAGTATTGAGGAACCCCATGAACACGATCATCATCCCACGAGAACCACTCCTCTATAGGCCACGGCCAGTGTTTCCAGAGCATCACCGATACAGGGGGAACCAAGACGCCTCTACTCACCATATGTTCTCTCTCTCTGCTCTCTCTGCTCTGTCTCTCTCTCTCTCTCGATTCCCCTCATAGTTCCTTGAGTCCACTGTCCAAAGTCAGCTCGCCGCCTTACTCTTCTCCTTACGAGAGGCTAAGGTCACGAGGGCCTTTCTCTGGTTCTGTCGTCGCTTCTTCATCATCTACAGTGCCCAATCATCACTTCTCCTTCTCTCACCTATCGTTTTATTCTCTCGTGTTACCGAGCATAAGAAAACCACTGATTATCTCATTTAGTTACTGTTCTAAAACCGGAGGTTCTACCAAGTTCTATCAGGAGTGATAAAACCATCGCCATTCTTCATGTCCGACTTTGATCGAGTTCAATGCAAGCGATCGCACTCATGTAAAACACAGAAAGAGAAAGAAAGAGAGGCAGAGACGGGGGGGGCGGGTGAGAGGGGAGAGAGGGAGAGAGAAAGGAAGAGGGAAAAAGAAGAAGAAGAAGAAGAAGAAGAAGAGGGAGGGAGAGAGAGAGAGAGAGAGAGAGAGAGAGAGAGAAGCATATCTATTGGTCAAGATGCTCACCTCAGCTGTATTTAATCAAATCTTGGAGGAGTCGACAACTTCAGAGCGCGGCCTCGTTCACACTTAGAGTCTCATTAACTGGCTTTGCCCCGAAAGTCGTATCTTATTTTTGTCGTTACATGAGCATTCCATGCCTGTTTTCTTCGCATCTATCCACTCTTGCTCTCTAGGGCTTGGTTTTCTTTGTTCCTTTTCCGAGTTTTTTATCAAATGCGAGTCATATCCCAGACTGGGTTGGGCATGCATGACCTGGGCAATTTTAAGTCTTCCCTTATGCGTCGGGATCAACACGAGCCAAATGTCAACGAATAGAGCGGCTGGGTACTTGTTAAAATCATTACTCAAAAGGAACTTTCGGTTGTGAAGACAATGCACGTTGACATAAAGAGAAGGAAAACGAATACCGAGATAATTAACGGCGATCAACAGCTGACGACCTCTTCAGTGGGTGAATTTCCACCCCGGTGACGTTGACACACATATGGCAGCAGAAATAAGAGGATAGTAATGTCTCTAGCCACTGCAGCCTGCCTGCGGTTCCCACTTCTCAGGGGATCCCAAGAAACCCACATCGGGGAGGATGGTAAAGAAGGCCCCAGCGAAGGCGGCGGCGGCGATGGGGTCGAGCGTGCTGCTAGCCCTGTTATGCTTCCTTGCCCTGGGAGCGTTGCACGCCCAGTCAACTCAAGGTGACGAAACTTCTCTATCACGCCTCCAGACGGATCTCTGATCTTCGCGATAACGAATCAGTTGTATGGTCTTTGTAGGATTCATCAGCATAGACTGCGGTCTGGACTTAGACTCGAACTACACAGATGAGTTCACGCATATCTTCTACTCGCTTGACGACGGGTACGTCGACGGCGGCGTGAACATGGACATCCCCCGGGAACCCAACTTCAGCTCCCTCTCCCATAGGTATGGCAGCAGCCTGCAAGCTTGCGTTTATTTTAGACGATTTAAGCGACGTGGGATTTTTCCGACAGATATTTGAACTTGCGAATTTTCCCCAACGGGACTCGGAACTGCTACACGATGGGGACTGTGAAGGAGGGAGTCAAGTACCTGGTGAGAGCCGGGTTCTTATACGGCAACTACGATGGCAAGAACCAGCCGCCGCAGTTCGATCTGTACCTGGGCGTGAACCTCTGGCGGACGGTGAATACGCTGGCGGATGACGTTGTGACAGCGGAGATCATCGCCATCTCCCCTACAAACGTGTTGCAGGTCTGCCTGCTGAACACCGGCATGGGAACCCCCTTCATTTCTGTCCTGGAGGTGAGGCCCCTTCACGATTCCATGTACCCGCTCGTCAACGAATCCCAGTCGCTGGTCCTAAACAGGGGACGGGTCGACTGCGGCGGAAACGAAACCACCAGGTCAGAACACTTAATCTGTCTCCCTGAATCTCTCTCTCTCTTGCTGGACTAAATACGGCGACAGGTATCCAGTGGATCCTTACGACCGCATCTGGTTCGGCAACGTTACCCAGACGGGGTGGAGGACAGTAACGGCGAACGGGGACATCAACAGACCGGAGGCAGACATATGGGTGGTGCCAGGGGAGATTCTGAGGACGGCGACCGAAGCCAAGAGCTTGGTCTTCCACTTCTCAGGTGGCCCACAGGAGAAGCTCTACCTGTTCTTATACTTCGCGGAGCTCCAGCAGCTCGGACCCAACGAGACGAGGGAGTTCAACGTACTCTCCGACGGTCAACTATTGCACGGAGCGTACAGGCCAACATACCTGACTTTAGATGTTCTAGATAACTTACTGCCTGAGCCGCATAGTGTGAAAATGACGTATAACTTCACACTCGAGGCCACGGCAAATTCTACCTTAGATCCTATGATCAACGCCCACGAGATCTACAGCTTGAAGCAACTGGAGGAGTCTCCCACCGACGCTCACGACGGTGAGTCGCCGTTTTTACTCCACTCTTCCGGCTATGTGGGTTGAAGCTAGGATGACAGCTAAGCATTAAGCTCACTCTCTGCGTTGTCATTCTTGAATTCATTCCTTAATCAGGCAATCATTTCAATAATCTTCTGCTCTATTCAGATCGCTTTCTTGATCCTTCTCTGTAGTGGTCGTCTTTTTCATTTCTTGAACAGGCAATGACTTCCCCGTTTAATGAATCAGGCCTGGCTTTAAACTCATGTTTTGTAATTTTTAGCTGGTCTTGGTCGTTGGTAATTCTTTTTTATAAATATTTATCTCTGGCTAAATTCTCCCCACATGAAAGTTTTCAAACACATCAATAAAGGCCTGTCCTTTTTCATTCAATCCCACACGTCCTGGGTTTAATTTCTGATCATTATGGCCAATGTGGTCAGCTCTATTGAAAAAACCACTATTTATGTCGACGTGACAGCTCAGGCGATGCTGAAGATTAAAGATTTCTACAAAGTGAAGAAGAATTGGCAAGGGGACCCGTGCGTCCCCCGAAATCTGACGTGGGAACGGGTAAGCTGCCGCTACGACTCGAAGAACCCTCGGATCGTGTCTCTGTGAGTTACTTCTCCTCGGCGCGCAAGCCTGTCGTGTAGAACAACTTCGGTCATTGAGAGGTGCTGAAATTCCTTGCAGGAATTTGTCCCACAGTGCATTGGCAGGCGAAATTCATCCATTTATAGTCGAACTCATGGCTCTACGGACTTTGTGAGTGTTCTTGACCTTGTCCCCTATTTCGAGGTGCATTAACTTGACTGGTATATTGAAATTTGACTGGTATTTTTCCCCCTTTATATCCCAGGGACTTATCACATAATAATTTAACTGGAGAAATTCCTAGTGGTCTTGGAAAGTTGCCAAATCTTCAAGTCTTGTAGGTTTCTGAAACCCACCTGGCTTCGTCAGTGTAGAAATATGTTGACAGAAAAGTTAAAGATATTTTTTTTCTATTTTGCAGGAACCTGATAAACAACCAATTGACCGGAGTCATACCTCAAATTCTTTACAAAAAATCACAAAATGGCACACTCTCATTAAGGTTAGGTCTTTATCTAGATGCATCTTGAACTATGGTCAAGCAAAGGATTTGAAACTAATTATATCTCCCAAGAAATTTAACTCATTGCCACATGACCGACAGCTTATATGACTTTTAACTATTTCTTCAAATGTTTAACCTGTTCGTTGGTCTCCAAGGTGGATGTTTTCCGAATTATGGGCAGCTACAAGTCAAAAAATAAAGAAAAAAGGGATCGAAATTCCACGAAACCTATCAATTCTGTCAATGTCACGAATTAGCGAGATCAAATGCGACCATACCAGACCCAAGAAAAAACCATATTTGTTACATTTTTATTTACATGATTAGAGAGTTACAAGAAATGAGGAAGATGTTTAAGGAGAACTTGAAGGTTAATCTAGTACTAAATTTAACCTTTTTTATTTTAAAATTTACGAGAAATGGAGAGACATGATAACCTCTGTTCGAAAAATTATTACACAAGAAAAAAAATTATAAACTCATGATAAACGGTCAGGTAGGAGAATTTTTTCCTTTTCGTATTTTTTTAATGGTGCAATGATTTTTAATACAGCCAAATTTGGATCAAGCAATAAAAGGACCTTTTTCCATTTGAGGAATGTGATACCTTAGGAGATATTCGAATATTAAAAATTAATTCTTATGGTTGTACTTTATGCTCCATGCGTTTAACAGGATTTAAGCACTAAAACTTCGTGTTTTTCCCTTAAAAACTGCAGCACTGAGGGCAACACACAACTTTGCAACAATACGATTTCATGTAAAATAATAGGTGGAAAAAAGAAGAATATCGTTCCCATTGCAGTAGGAGTATCAGTATCTGCCATTGTTCTCTTGGGAATATTTATCCTGGTTTGGAGACTGAAAGGAAGAAAGAGAGGCACCGTACAAAGTGCACCTCATGGTATGACCATATTCTTATGCTGTTCTTAATATTTACTTTACTCAATAGTGGAATACCCAATTAGGATCCTCTTGATATATTTCTGACATAATTATTTCTTCAGCGCCAGGGATACCTAGTGAAAATTCAAGAGACAGCATAGATCCTCAAGCCAAAAGGCAACAACATGATTTGAATATGGAGAACCATCAGTTCTCATTTTTAGATATCGTAAAGATAACTGGAAACTTTAAGCGTATGATAGGCAGAGGAGGCTTTGGAATTGTCTACCATGGGTTATTGAATGACGGAAGAGAAGTAGCAGTAAAGATGATTTCCAAATCTTCCCAAGGAGAAAAAGAGTTTCATGCAGAAGTAAGCCATAATCATGGAGATGGGAAATGACTACAATATTGATATTTTTTCTTACTTTCTTTGGATAAATCTTTAAGTCATACACTACCGTCATCATAATGGGTATCTTTGAATTTCAGGTCCAAATCCTGTTGAGGGTCCACCATAAAAATCTTGTGTATTTGCTGGGGTATTGTGATGACAGGAATAATCTAGCACTTGTTTACGAGTACATGCAGAAAGGCTCCCTTGCAGATTTTTTATCAGGTTTCTATATAAAAAATTAATGCTCTAGATCTTTTTAATATTTTTGTAGTTTCCTAAAAAAATTATCTTGTAGGAGAAATCTCTCTCTCTTTCTCTCTCTCTCTCTCTTCCTCTCTTTGTGTGGCTCACTCGATGTGTATGTTGAACACACGTTTACATGGAAACAGGTAACAAAGAAGACATTGGACTAAATTGGAGCATGCGACTCAAAATAGCACTAGATGTGGCTCAGGGTACCCATATTTCGAAATAGTTTATATAAATATACACATATTTACTTTTTCGTCTCCCAATTGAGACACTACTGATAAAATCTTCGCTTGCAGGACTTGACTACTTGCACAGCTTCTGCAAGCCATCCATAGTTCATAGAGATGTAAAGACAGGAAACATTCTATTAAATGCAAAACTTGAAGCCAAATTAGGAGATTTTGGGTTATCTAAGCTATTTTCTCATGAAGATGCCACCCATATATCAACTGCAGTTGCTGGCACTTCAGGATATCTCGATCCAGAGTATGTCAGGTTTTTCAACTTCATTACAAGTAATAATTACCGCAAAAAATAATATATCTGAAGAACTCAGCGTAATTTTGACATCTTTCATTACAGGTACTATCAAACATATAGACTGACCGAGAAGAGTGATATCTACAGTTTCGGAATCGTCCTATTGGAGATTATATCTGGCAAGTCTCCAATCAGCCGTGACCCACAAAGTGCTCCAATAGTGTCATGGGTGCAGTCTAGACTCGAAAGAGGAGATATATCCAGCATAGCCGACCAAAGATTGAACAATGGTTATGATCTTAATTCTATATGGAAAGCAGCAGAGGTTGCCATGGCGTGTGCATCGCCTACATCGAGCTGTAGACCGAAAATGAGTGAAGTAGTTGCGCTACTGAAGGAGTGCTTGGAATCTATAGCTTCGCATGACATATCAGGGAGTTTCAGCGTGGAGAGGTCAAATTCAAATTATACTGGGCCTACTGTTTTTTATTCAAGCACAATCCCATCAGCAAGGTAATATGTTATATGACGTCTGATGTTCCATTTCATGTTTTCTTAACAAAGAGCAGTGTGTTTCTAGAACAAGTAAGTTTTATGAACCTAGCTACATGGCTGTAATATTGTCCGTGAGTGTAAGTTTTGCAAATATTTTTTATAAGCGGGAGAAGAATCCATTGGGTATTTATATTTGTGAAGTTTACACGAAGTAAAGGGGAAAAAAAATCATTTATTTCATGTTCTCCTGGTGCATTTCTCTTATATCATTACATTTTGGATAGGATCGGGGGGTGACGATTGGTGGGGTAAATGGAATGATTTATGGTTGAAAACCTAAATGGAGGTGTACTCCTTGTTAAGGTCACATGATATCCTTGTATAGAAGAAGCATTAAGTAGTGCTTTAGTGATGGGGAAAATGATGATCTTGCTCCAGCTTTAGAACTAGTAAGATGAAAGGAAATAGTTCACGATGAAACAAAATGATAGGAGCCCATTTTCTAATTTGAGACATTAATAAGAAATGTGGGAAATGCCATTACTTTTGAGCTTCTCTCTCTCTCTCCCTCTCTCTCTCTTACTCAGACGAAGCCCTGTGTCAACTCCAGAGACTCCATGTGAAGGGGGAGCATAGTTTCCACGAAACTAACCCTCCATTGTAAATAAGAAAGAGCTTCATATAGGACCAAGTCAACGTCCTGATCATCACAAAGTCAGCGGTCAGCGGTCCTCGTCAACACAGGGCCCGGGGGGGGGGGGGCGGCATCTGTCATGGGCACAGCTTCAAACTTCGGTCACATTAAGAAAAACAGGGCCCCCCTCCCCAAGAGACCGATTTACAGAATCCTTTCCACTGAATCAGAAAATGAAACCCACACCGATTTAATATACATGAAGAAGCCCAGAGATCTGTAGAAGGCCTTGCTCCCCCACACACTCCAATCTTAGATGAGCTAATGATGAGAGATTCCCCACCAAGTCAACCATCGGCCGCTCCTGATCTTCACCAGCTTCCTGGAATCTGCAAGCAAAAGCCCCAAAGAAAAGGTCAACGCTGGAACTTTCTTAACAGGCGGGCATAAAAAATGAAGTAACTTTCGCTCATCCGATTCCAAAAATGGAATCAGATCACAGGCATGTTGCAGCATAAGCCCGTGAATGTTGAATGGGTGAAGTCAGCTTCCATATTTCCAAAAACAGTGCTGAACTTACCACAATCCCATGTTTCATCATATAACCATAATATGCTAGTTAAAACATCATACACACCCATAAACAGAAGTTATCAAAATCATTTGTATACCTTACACAGGAATTCCTCTCCGCTTCAAATTGAAAAACTTCTCATAAGAATACGCCACAAAGTAAGCTGGCGAAAATTACTTCCCCAATCTTCACATTACCCGCTCCCATTTTCAGATTCTCGGCTTGAATTGTTGGGCTGGCTGTTCTTCAACTTTAAGTTTTAAACTGGCAAGTTTCTTCTCTCGTAAACATCTATCCAAGAAAGAAAAAAAACTCTAAACTTGCTTCCCAATCCTAGTTTACATGCACCTTCCTAACTAATTAAAGAGTCCCACTTATAACTCCATTTAAATCAAGCTCTTGGATAAAACCCCTATCTTTTATGATTCCGAAAGAGAGTTTTACTTCCCCATTCTGAAAGATATTTTGATAGCATCCGATGCAAAGAGGAAAAATAAGACTTAAAAAGATTGTGGAAGATAGCAGCAACAAGACAAAAATAGAAGAGGGAACCTCAGTCGGGAGTCACTAGTTGAAGAGAGGGAAACAAAGATTTGACACAAAAAATTGATGACCGTGACATAGAACTAGCTGACCACAAATGAATAGCTTCTCAAACGAAACCCTCGACATCAAAATCATCACCTACCTATAACCGTTTTTTTTTTACTAATCCATTGATAGTGATCTTCCTATAAATAATTCCAGTGGTTCACTATTTTGCCATATATCCCTTCTTCTCTCAGTTTTCTTCTAAATCTTTCATCCAACATCGTCCTCTTCTTTTCCCATGAACAAAGAGCTCTTCACCAGTACTTCATCTCTTACTGCCCTGGAAAGAGAATTGAATTTTTAATCGTAGACTAAAATTCCCCCACTGACTGTATGTCCGAAATAGAGTCATTTTTCACTGAACTTGTTAATTATTAGCGCAAATCGCACACCATCTGTATTTCCAAAATAGCTTCCGTTGTCCAACGCACCTAAAAAACCATGATATCAGTTCCTACCATGTGTGCGTGTGTGTGTAAAATTCATCACCTTCACCCATAGCCTTCCATCCTTGGTTCCCAATCTGCATAACTAATTATCAATGACAATTTAACATCAAAAATACAGATGGCTCCCAGACCCTATCGTATCAATGTCTGCATATTCAGGTGTAGTTGATATGAATACGTCCGATGCACCTGTCACCAATATCATGCCGAAAAAATAACCTTGTATTTATTCAAAATTCTTTCTCGATGGTTTCAGGATCTTGGACAAAGATAAACAGTAGATCAACATGTTACAAAAAATACCAGCTAACACGATGTTTCTCTTTAAGAAGACAAGATTTATTTTTCTTAGATGCCATTCTACTCCAAAACCCCGAACTAAGCTCCTTCGGGAACAAGACCTTAACCTGGTCTTTCACAGATGCTATTGTACAATCAGTTGGACTTCTAACAATTTCAAGGATAGACAAAAGTATCCGAAGCTTATTCCTATTTTTCTAATATATGCGGTAACATCAGCAGCAACAAAGCCCAATGGTAGGCAAGTTTCAGAACGAGAAAAGAGTTCAATTGATGGCAATCCTTGAGTAAGTACAGCACAAGGTTTATTACCTAGTTGCATGATGCAAATAGCGGTAATAGATGGCACTGTAAAAACCTACACATGAAGAGAATCCTAGATTGATTATTGGCATCTACTCTTCTTTAATACCTCTATCACGATTTGTTCCCATGCAATATGATAAAAAGGTGGCTACCTTCACCACCAATGATCTTGCTTTTCACGAGCACAAAAAGCCCGTAGAAGTTGATTGCCATTTTATTCAAGATGTCGATGTGTCCTACAAGACTTCTACACCGTACATATTTATAGAGGAGCAATTGACAGGTATTTTTACCAAGACACTTCCTCGTCGTCGACTGGAGCTCGCTCTCTTCAAGAAGAACATGAGAGATATATATGCTTCAACTTGAGGGAGAGAATCACTCAGGCCAATTTAGCCCAAGGACATCATTAGAAAATGTCTTCTTGAGATTCAGATATTTAGCACTAATGGGGGACCGACGGATTGGATGAATGAAAATCGATTTTTCCTCTCTCTCTCTCTCTCTGATTATCGCTCCTTCAATACTCATCATGTATCATGTCACCAAGGCGTAAAATAAAAACCTAAAACATTCAATCTGATCGACATCACACGGACGCCTAAAAACCTGGTAACTGGAGGAGAGGCGAAGCCAAGGGAACGGTTATACCTTATAGCCTGAGGATCATCCCGTATCCCAGATCTCATCAACATGAAGTAAATGTCACTACTGTTTGAACATCCAATTCTTTCAGTGTCCGTACAATCCCGATATCAACACTGCCCTGTACTGCATTTCTCTCCTCATCTAAAGATCAATCTCCGGTAATTCAATCTAGAATATCAAATATATTTAAACCACCACAAAAGGGATTTCAGTCATGGCGGCTTGCTCGGAAGAGCATTCCACGCCATGGCCGCTTCCCGGATTTATGGAAAACCACCAAGAGGGAGAAACTACAGCCATTCTCAGATCGCACAAATGGAGAAGCCTGCCTTTAGCAGAAACAGGGAACAAAACGGGAACAAGACGACGCACCTCAGCGCTCTCGTTGATCTGGCTGACGTCGGCGGCTGCTCCAGGACGGCTCCGGCTGGACCATTCTGGTGAGAGAAGAAGAAAACGGCGAGGGAATCAGATCACCGCGGTGCCGATTTACGAATCCCAAGACCAGACCTTGATTGAGGGAGAGGGCCGGCTTTGGCGGGAATGCCACGGAATAACCGCCCTGACCTTGATGGGCGGCCCCCTCGTGCGGCCCATTTGCCTCTCTCTCTCTCTCATCAGTTCTCGTTTACCATGGAATATTAAATGACGGAAGAGAAGTCGCAACGAGCAAAAGAGTCTCAGGCGCTATGCATCTCTCATCTTCTTGGTTGCCATCGATAACCAAGAGCTTCGCCACTCTCACAACCTTCTTAGGAAGATGGTGTTCATGGAACGGGTGCGTGGTTAAGACCAGCAACTCAAACATCTTAGCGCCAATCCAGCTCGTGGACGAGTTCTATGCGGAGGGACAAAACCATGGCTATTCTTCATGTCCGGCTTCGACCGACTTTTCTTGCATCGATACGAAATAATATCTCCTATGCTATGGGATGACTGAATAGAACAAACAGCCAAGAGAAACGGGCCCATGCAAGCGATCGCAATCACGTCACACAGAGAAAGACGAAGAGAGAGAGAGAGAGAAGAGGAGAAAGAGAAGCATCGAGCCTCCGTCAGAGCTATTTAATCAACTTCAGAGCGCGGCCTTGTTCCCACTGAGCCTCCTTGACAGGATTTGCCCTGCAAGATCCTATCGCATCTTCTTTTCCTCCTTACATTATAACTCCATTCCTGTTTTCTTTCCTCTCTTGCTCTCTCTCGCTCTCTAGAACGCTGGGGTTCCTCAAACCCGAGTACGATCCCAGACTGGGTGGGGCAGGCATGGCATGGGCCATCCTAAGGCCCAGTCTTCCCCGATGCATGGGGTTCTCTCTCTCTCTCTCTCTCTCTCTCTCTCTCTCTCTCATCAGTTCTCGTTTGCAGGAGTTGTAAACTTTACCAGAAACTTTGAGCATATGATATGCAGAAACGATGGTCAGAGGCGGCTTTGGAATTATCTACTATGGATTGCTAGATGACGGAAGAGAAGTCGCAGTAAAGATGATTTCCAAATCTTCCAAAGGAGCAAAAGAGTTTCAGGCGCTATGCGTCTCTCATCTTCTTAGTTGCCATCGATAACCAAGAGCTTCGCCACTCTCACAACCTTCTTAGGAAGATGGTGTTCATGGAACGGGTGCGTGGTTGAGACCAGCAACTCAAACATCTTAGCGCCAATCCAGCTCGTGGACGAGTTCTATGCGGAGGGACAAAACCATGGCTATTCTTCATGTCCGGCTTCGACCGACTTTTCTTGCATCGATACGAAATAATATCTCCTATGCTATGGGATGACTGAACAGAACAAAGAACTAAGAGAAACGGGCCCATGCAAGCGATCGCAATCACGTCACACGGAGAAAGACGAAGAGAGAGGGAGAGAGAAGAGGAGAAAGAGAAGCATCGAACCTCCGTCAGAGTTATTAAATCAACTTCAGAGCGCGGCCTTGTTCCCACTGAGCCTCCTTGACAGGATTTGCCCTGCAAGATCGTATCTTCTTTTCCTAATTACATTAGAACTCCATGCCTACTTTCTAGAACGCTAGGGCTTGGGCTTCTTTGTTACTCCTTCGAGTTTTTCCTCGAATCCGAGTCAGATCCCGGGCTGGGTGGGGATGACAAATTGTTAAGTCATTACTCAAGAAGACTTTCGCAAGTAAAGACAATACCCATTGACTTTAAGAGAAGGAAAACGAAAAGCGAGATAAATTAACGAACGGGAGTCAACAGCTGACGAAGCCTTCAGTGGGAGAAACTGAGGCCTGCCTGCAATTCCCCTCCGTTCTCTGGAGGTCCCCTGAAACCCAAATGTGGAGTGTGCTGTAGAAGACCCCGGCGAAGGCGGCGGCGATGGGGTCGCGCGCACTGTTTCCACTGTTATGCTTCCTTGTCCAGGCAGCCGCAGTGCACGGCCAGTCAGTCTCAGGTGAGGAAACTCTCTCTATCGCGCCTCCAAACGGATCTCTGATCTTCATAATAACGAACCATTGGTGTGGTCTTCTCAGGATTCATTAGCATAGACTGCGGTCTGGAGGGCGACTCAAACTACACAGAGCAGTTCTCGGGGATCATCTACTCGCCGGACGCCGGGTACGTCAACGACGGCGTGAACGTGGACATCCCCCGGGGACCCTTGTACGGGTCCCTCGCCCAGAGGTATCCCCGAAGCCTGCAATCCTGCGTTTTTCCGTTAGATGATTTAAGCGACGTGGGATTCTTCCGACAGATATTTGACCATGAGAAGTTTCCCGAACGGGACTCGGAACTGCTACACGATGGGCCCTGTGAAGGAGGGCGGCAAGTACCTGTTGAGAGCCGAGTTCTTGTACGGCAATTACGATGGCAAGAACCAGCCGCCGCAGTTCGATCTGTACCTGGGCGTGAACCTCTGGCAGACGGTGAATACGGATCACACTGTGATAGCGGAGATCATCGCCATCTCCCCTACAAAGGTGTTGCAAGTCTGCCTGCTGAACACCGGCATGGGGACCCCCTTCATTTCTGTCCTGGAGGTGAGGCCCCTTCCAGGTTTCATGTACCCTCTCGTCAACGAATCCCAGTCGCTGGTTCTAAACGGGAGACGGGTCGACTACGGCGGAAACGAAACCACCAGGTCAGAGCACTTAATCTGTCGCCCTGCGTCTCCCTCTTCCTCTGTCTCTCTCTGTCTCCCTCTGTCTCTCTGTCTCTGTCTCTGTCTCTGTCTGTCTGTCTGTCTCTCCCTCTCGCTGGACTAAATACGGCGACAGGTATCCAGTGGATCCTTACGACCGCATCTGGTTCGGCAACGTTACCCAGACGGGGTGGAGTACGGTAACGGCGAACGGGGACATCAACAGACCGGAGGCAGACATATGGGTGGTGCCAGGGGAGATTCTGAGGACGGCGACCGTCACCGAGAGCTTGGTCTTCTACTTCTCAGGTGGCCCACAGGAGAAGCTCTACCTGTTCTTATACTTCGTGGAGCTCCAGCAGCTCGGACCCAACGAGACGAGGGAGTTCAACGTACTCTCCAACGGTCAACTATTGTATGGACAGTACAGGCCAACGTACCTGAATTCAGGCGTTCTATATAGCTTACGGCCTGTGCCGTATAGTCTGAAAACGACGTATAACTTCACACTCGAGGCCACGGCAAATTCTACCTTACCTCCTATGATCAACGCCCACGAGATCTACAGCTTGAAGCAACAGGAGGAGTCTCCCACCGACGCTCTCGACGGTGAGTCGCCGTTTTCACACCTCCACCCTCTGCGCTGTGATTCTCGGTTTCATTCCTTAATCAGACAATCATTTCAAGAATCTTCTGCTCTATTCAGATCGCTTGCTTGATCCTTCTCTGTAGTTGTTCTCGGTTGTTGGTAATTTCTTTTTTGTACATCTTTATCTCGGGCTGAATTTTCTCCTCATAAAAGTTTTCAGACGCATCAATAAAGGCTTGTCCTTTTCATTCAATCCCAAAAGTACTGGGTTTATTTTCAGATCATTAGGTTTCTGTTGTCATTCTTGCCGACGCGGTCAACTCTATTAAAAAAGCCTTTATTTTTTTCGACATGACAGCTACCGCGATGCTGAAGATCAAAGATTTCTACAAAGTGAAGAAGAATTGGCAAGGGGACCCGTGTGTTCCCCGAAATCTGACGTGGGAAGGGGTGAGCTGCGGCTACGACGACTCGAAGAACCCTCTGATCGTGTCTCTGTGAGTTATTTCTCCTTGAAAAGATCACTCGGCGCACAGCACATAATCTACAACAAGCCTGTTGTCTAGCACGACCTCGATCATTGAAAGGGTGTTGAAACTCCTTGCAGGAATTTGTCCCACAGTGGACTAGCAGGCGGAATTTCTCCATTTATAGTGGAACTCACGGCTCTAACGACTTTGTGAGGTTTTTTGACCCTGTCCCCTATTTCGAGGTGCATTAACTTGACTGGTTTATTTTCCCCCTTTATATATATCCCAGGGACTTATCACATAACAATTTAACTGGAGAAATTCCTAGTGATCTTGGAAAGTTGCCGAATCTTCAAGTCTTGTAGGTTTTTGAAACCTTTGGCTTCGTTAGTTTTAGAAATATGTTGACAGAAGAGTTAATGATGTTTTTTTCTATTTTTCAGGAACCTGATAAACAACCAACTGACCGGATTCATACCGGAAATTCTTTACAAAAAATCACAAAATGGCACACTCTCATTAAGGTTAGGTGTTTATTTAGATGCATCTTCAACTGTGTTTAGGTAAAGGATTTAAAACTAATTAAATCTCTCAAGAAATTTAACTCATTGCCACATTGATCTCCAAGGTGGATGTTTTCCGAATTATGAGTGGCTAAAAGTTAAAACGTAAAGAAAAAAGGGATCAAAATTCCACAAAACCTATAATTCTGTCCATGTCACGAATTAGTGAGATCGAATACGACCATACCAGGCCAAAGAAAAAACAATATATTTTACATTTTTATTTACATGATTAGAGAGTTAGCAGAAATGAGGAAGATGTTTAACGAGAACTTGAATTGACATCTAGTACTAATTTCAACTTTGTTTATTTTAAAATTTACGAGAAATGGAGAGACATGATAACCTCTGTTCGAAAAACTATCACACAAGAACAAAATTTATAAACTCATGATAAAATGGCATGTTGGAGAATATTTCCTTTTTATATTTTTTTTATGGTGTGATGATTTTTAATACATAGACGAATTTGGATCAATTAATAAAATGGCCTTTTTCTATATGATGAAAGTGATACCTTACAAGAGATTAAAATATTCAAAATTAATTATTAAGGTTGTGATTAATACTCCATGGGTTTGATGGGATTTAAGCACTAAAATGACATGTTTTTCCTTAAAAACTGCAGCACTGAGGGCAACACACAACTTTGCAACAATACGGTTTCATGCAAAATAATAGGTGGAAAAAAGAAGAATATCGTTCCCATTGCAGTAGGAATATCAGTATCCGCCATTGTGCTCTTGGGAATATTTATCCTGGTGTGGAGACTTAAAGGAAGAAAGAGAGGCACCGTACGAAGTGCACCTCATGGTATGACCATATTCTTATGCTGTTCTTAATATTTACTTTACTCAATAGTGGAATACCCAATTAGGATCTTCTTGATATATTTCTGGCATAATTCTTTCTTCAGCACCAGGGATACCTAGTAAAAATTCAAGAGACAGGATAGATCCTCAAGCCAAAAGGCAACAACATGATTTGAATATGGAGAGCCAACAATTCTCGATTTCAGATATTGTAAACATTACCAGAAACTTTGAGCGTATGATAGGCAGAGGAGGCTTTGGAATTGTTTACCATGGGTTATTGAATGACGGAAGAGAAGTAGCAGTAAAGATGATTTCCAAATCTTCCCAAGGAGAAAAAGAGTTTCATGCAGAAGTAAGCCATAATCATGGAGATGGGAAATGACTACAATATTGATATTTTTTCTTACTTTCTTTGGTTAAATCTTTAAGTCATACACTACCGTCATCATAATGGGTATTTTTGAATTTCAGGTCCAAATCCTGTTGAGGGTCCACCATAAAAATCTTGTGTATTTGCTGGGGTATTGTGATGACAGGAATAATCTAGCACTTGTTTACGAGTACATGCAGAAAGGCTCCCTTGCAGATTTTTTATCAGGTTTCTATATAAAAAATTAATTCTCTAGATCTTTTCAATATTTTTCTAGTTTCCTAAAAAATTTATCTTGTAGGAGAAATCTCTCTCTGTTTCTCTCTCTCTCTCTCTCTCTCTCTTCCTCTCTTTGTGTGGCTCACTCGCTGTGTATGTTGAACACACGTTTACATGGAAACAGGTAACAAAGAAGACATTGGACTAAATTGGAGCATGCGACTCAAAATAGCACTAGATGTGGCTCAGGGTACCCATATTTCGAAATAGTTTATATAAATACACACATTTACTTTTTCATCTCCCAATTGAAATACACTACTGATAAAATCTTCACTCGCAGGACTTGACTACTTGCACAGTTTCTGCAAGCCATCCATAGTCCATAGAGATGTAAAGACAGGAAACATTCTATTAAATGCAAAACTTGAAGCCAAATTAGGAGATTTTGGGTTATCTAAGCTATTTTCTCATGAAGATGCCACCCATATATCAACTGCAGTTGCTGGCACTCCAGGATATCTCGATCCAGAGTATGTCAGGTTTTTCAACTTCATTACAAGTAATAATGACCGCAAAAAGTGATATCTCTGAAGAAGTAGACATACTTTTGACATCTTTCATTACAGGTACTATCAAACATATAGACTAACCGAGAAGAGTGATATCTACAGTTTCGGAATCGTCCTATTGGAGATTATATCTGGCAAGTCTCCAATCAGCCGTGACCCACAAAGTGCTCCAATAGTGTCATGGGTGCAGTCTAGACTCGAAAGAGGAGATATATCCAGCATAGCCGACCAAAGATTGAACAATGGTTATGATCTTAATTCTATATGGAAAGCAGCAGAGGTTGCCATGGCATGTGCATCACCTACATTGAGCTGTAGACCAAAAATGAGTGAAGTAGTTGCGCTACTGAAGGAGTGCTTGGAATCTATAGCTTCGCATGACATATCAGGGAGTTTCAGCATGGAGAGGTCAAATTCAAATTATACTGGGCCTACTGTTTTTTATTCAAGCACAATCCCATTAGCAAGGTAGTATAGTATGTAGTATGTGCTTTCAGATGGTGTGCTACATGCCTGCTCAAACTAGGCAAATAATGTGTCTTTCTAAGATGAGTGACTCTCATGCTCCTAGCGACATGCCTGAATATTATCCATCGGGTGTTTATATTTTTGAAGTGAAAGGGTCACGGAAATAATGTTCTCTTGTTGCATGTGTCCTATACGTTCCTTTGCTATGGTCAGATGATATCCTTAGAAAGAAGAAGCAGTAAGTAGAGCCTAGTGATCGGGAGAAGATCTTGCTCCAGCATTAGAACTGGTAAGATAGAGCCCACTTTCTAATTTTAGACATTGATAAGAAATGTGGGAAATGCCATACTTTTGAGCCTCTCTCTCTCTCTCTCTCTCTCTCTCTCTCTCTCTCTCTCTCTCTCTCTCTCTCTCTCTTACTCAGACACTAGCGATGCGTCAAATCCAGGAACTCCGACGTGTGAAGGGGGCAGCATAGTTATATCATTGTAACTAACCCTCCATTGTAAATAAGAAAGAGCTTCATATAGGACCAAATCAACGTCCTGTTCATCACAAAGTCAGCGGTCCTCGTCAACACAGCGCCCAGGGGGGGGGGGGCGGCATCTGTCATGGGCACAGCTTCAAACTTTGGTCACATTAAGAAAAACAGGGCCCCCCTCCCCAAGAGACCGATTCACAGAATCCTTTCCACTGAATCAGAAAATGAAACCCACACCGATTTAATATACACGCGGAAGCCCAGAGATCTGTTGAAGGCCTGCCTTGCCACCCCAATCTGAGACGAGCTGATGATGAGAGATCCCCCACCAAGTCAACCATCGGCCGCTTCTGATCTTCACCAGCTTCCTGGAATCTGCTAGCAAAAGCCAAAAATAAAAGGTCAACGCTGGAACTTTCCGGATGGACGAGCGTAGACGACATAGAAATGGATAGACTAATCATGTCAACGAGGCGTAAAATAAAAACCCGACATATTCAAATTTATCCGACCAGTTTATTTTTTATGAGTCCTTGGGAGCCTCGATGTCTGATGATTAGCATAAATAGAAAATTCCTCGCATCCGCAGAGGTAAAACCATCCAATGCCGGAAAAACCTGAATTATGCATCCAACTCCAAATGATAGGCTGATTAATCACCCAAAAAAACGCCCAATCACGAACTCTTCACATCCATCGAACATCATTGTCACACTGATGGTTCTTCATGTTTAAAGACTCTCTCTCTCTCTCTCTCTCTCTCTCCAAAGGACCACCAAGAAATGGAGTCATTTAACAACTGTATGTCCGAAATAGAGTCATTTATCCATTGAACTTGTTAATTATAAACGGAAATCGCACACCACCTGTATTTCCAAAATAGCTTTCGTTGTCCATTGCACCTATATAATCATGATATCAGTTGCTACCATATATATCTATATAATCACCTTCACCCATAGCCTTTCATCCTTGGTTCCCAATCTGCATAACTAATTATCAATGAAAATTTAACATCAAAAATACAGATGGTTCCCAGACCCTATCGTATCAATGTCTGCATATTCACGTGTAGTTGATATGAATACGTCCGATGCACTTGTCACCAATATCATGCCGAAATAATAACCTTGTATTTATCCAAAATTCTTTGTCGATGGTTTCAGGATCTTGGACAAAGATAAACAGTAGATCAACATGTTGCAAAAAATACCAACTAGCACGAAATTTCTCTTTAAGAAGACAATATTTATTTTTCTTAGATGCCATTCTACTTCAAAACCCCGAGCTAAGCTCCTTCCGGAATAAGACCTTAATCTGGTCTTTCATAGATCCGAGCAGTACAATAAATTCGAATAATGAAGGTCTGAGCAGGTCAATGCTATTGTACAGTCAGTTGGACTTCTAACAATTTCAAGGATAGACAAAAGTATCCGAAGCTTATTCCTATTTTTCTAATTATATGCTGCAACATCAGCAGCAACAAAGCCCAATGGTAGGCAAGTTTCAGAACTAGGTTTATTACCTAGTTGCATGATGAAAATAGCGGTAATAGATGGCAGCGTACAAAACCTATACCTGAACAGAATCCTAGGTTGATTATCGGTACCTTTCAAATTGCATCTATAATGAAAGCGACCGTCAGCGAAAAATCACAAAGCTGTATCAGATGGGTTAATTTTCGGACCACAATGGCATCAAAGAGAAAAATCACAAAGCTGTATCAGATGGGTTAATTTTTGGACCACAATGGCTTCAAATGAACATAGATGCCGGATCAGGTAATGAGGTTATAAACAGAAAGGCAAAAGAAAGTGATTTAACATCTGGCATTCAACTTTTCGGTCCAGCAAATTTGATGAAGAGTATCTGGGGTCTGTTAGGACGAAGTCCCAATTTCAAATTGATAGTACCCAAAACTCAGTGAAGAACCATTTTGTAGGTTGGAACACACGAAGAAGAAATATAATCGAAATGAAAGAAAGAGATTACAAACAAGATGAACATAAATTACGGTTCATGCGCCAAAGAAAAGGGCAGATGCAGGCCGCTTAAACAAGGCAAAAAGAGCTCCAGGTTACGACAGGTATAGATTCCCTTCAAGAAGCAACGATTCCTAGTTGTCAACTTCGTGACACCAGATTTGGGATGGTCTTGAATTTATGACAAAAGGAGAACAACTAATCTCACTTTGAATTTTCTAATATGTATCTTGACTCCAAACAACCGTACATACATGCAAGAACATAAACGTTCATAATAGCATTCCATCAACTTGGCTAGCACATATGAGAACACATCCTAAATAGCATTGAATGGTAGTTTCTGCAAATCATACACAGTGAATGAATCAGCTCGACTAATAAAGGAATATAAAACACACCATAATCACGTAGATGGTTAGCTTCCAACACACAAGATGTAAAAAGAAAGAAAAACAATCCAATATGATCACGTGGGGAAGATTGATACAAAGAATTATAACATTTCATGACCCGCAAATGTCATTGCAAAAGGTAGCAGGCATCAATTGGGCATCTAGTTCAGTTTTTATTCGTCAATTCAATTAAAAGAAGATAAAATTGAAACCCACTGCCTTGGTATAAGGCAACTCAAAAATTATCTAAATAAATTTTCCCATCAAAGTTCCAACTATGCAGGTCACTAGAGTATTAATCTTTTCTTTTTATCAAAAGAAGATTCGTTCAGTGAAAATGATCCTGTGTATAACGAATATTACCAAAATGTGTTCAATGACACGCTTTCGAAACCAAACCACTACGCCTTGTTAAGCAAAATAAAGAAGTATTTCAAACACTGAAAGCCCCAAATTCCACATTCATCAGACAGAATAAGCCATACAATGATACCTGCATTTGAACTATTCATGTTCAAGGTGAATGCCCCGCATCTGATTCATAGGCTGAGGAACTGTCACTGTCAGAATCTGCAAGTATTTTCCACTGTGAGTCCATGAACCAATCACAGCGAGCACATAGTTGATAAATAAAACATATATATTGCCCCATGCATGCAATCAAACCTTGTGTAACCCCATGAATGGAAGACCTACCACTAGAGGATGATCCAGAATCACTTGTAGAGCTGCTTGAGCTGCTAGATCTACCAGCATCAGCGTTCTTCTCTACTGCTGGCCGCAACGGAGAGCCCACGTGCTTATCGTCTGCCATCCCTGTTCTCCATGTGGTTATTGCATTAGTTATCCACCCACAAAATGAGGAAACCAAACGGCGAATTTCAAACAGAACTACCTGTCCTAGTCTCTGGTGGCTCCCCAACAGCAGGAATTGAATCTGGTAAATTCTACCAAAAAGAAACAGATCAAACTATCATTTCTGTGCGAAGTACTGCTGTAGGTAAGAAGAAATTAATGAAATAAGCATACCCTGTCTGGGACGTTTTTTAGTGACTCCATCCTGGCTAAAATAGCAAGTTCTGCCTTTCTCTTGTTCTTGCTCAAACTCTTCTTATAATTGGTTACAAATCTGTCAAGTTCCCAAAGAGTTTCATTATCAACACTGTCAATGTCCACTTCAATTTCATCATCATGCTGGCTTAAAGATGTGGTCCTCTTCTTGATAATTTGGACAATGCTGTCCAGCTTCTCTGAAGGGAGGCTCTGCAAGTTATTGCTCAGCTTCTGCTTCTCCTCATATGTCATATCCCTCTTGTTTGGGTCCTTTGCCTTCGGTTTCTTCATTGCAGGGGCACGAACCACTTGGGGTTTATAACTCAGAGGTTTTGGACTAATCTCCGGCACTAGAGGGTGTGTTGTGGATCCAGACCTCTCCAAGACCCTCATATCAAGAGGCTGTGGTGTTGTCTTACTAGGCATTGGATAAGGTACAACTGCATACTCGGCTTCTATAGTAGGCCAGCGATCCTCAAATACTCTGGAGAGTTGCTCTGCCATTACGTGAACATCTTGACCCTTCGGATTGTAAGTCATCGCATTCTGGAAGGTAAGTCTAACATCCTCGGCAAACTCTCTTGGAGACTTATACAAGCTTTTGTCCAATCGAGCCTTAACAGTCCCAAGGTCCATTGGATGTTTGATGATGGTATAATAGTCATGCAGGCCAAGGCCTTTGACATCCACCGGGGTATTGAAAACCCACCCATATTTGTGCTTCATCAACTTTGACAGCAGTGCAGAACAATTCTTGAAAGCCTGCGCATACTTCTTGCCTGTAGATGATACACTATTGTCTTCTTTAGGCACATTGTGCTTCTTATTACCACCGGACTTTGACTTCTTATGCGACTCAGCAGGTGGGAACTTATCCTTCCCAAGAAGAAAGTCAGAGTTCCTGTAATACTGATTGGCCTTTGGCGTTCTCTTCTCTTTCTCCACAACCTCGCTTACACTGTTGTTTTCCACCTGTGTCGCAGCAATTGAGACACTGAGCTGCCGGCGCAGGGAGGCAGCAGATACAGCCTCGGAATTAGTCGCAGGTCTCTTCGTGCCCACAGTATGATAAGCATTGTTGGCGGAAAGCTGAGACTGGCTGTATCCTGCAATTGACGCCGGAACAGCAGACGTGGCTACCTGAAGCTCACGAGCCTCAAGTCTCTTGACCAAGGCACGAACTTGATCGAGCTCCTGGTTGAGCTTGAGGCGGAGCTCGTGAACTTCATGCCGACTCTTGGAGGCAAGGTTGATCAGCATACGACCCTGATGACCTTCATTACCATCCTTCTGGGAGTTTGCTGGGCGACTCCCGTTGTTGTGATTCACATGTTGGTGGTTCGTGTGGTTGCTTGGAGCAACAACATCACGGTTAGACGTGGACGGAGGATTTTGCCGGCGGCCGTTGTCATTTAGACTGGAGGCATCATCCCCAGAAGCTGCCGACTCGAAGCTGGAAAGCTGCTGCTCATGATGCTGATGTGAAGAAGGAGCGGGCTGCTGGATAGAGGAGTTGACGTCCTCAGTGGTGGTGGCTACTGTATGCTGAGAGGAGACAGGAGGCTCAGGCTGCTGCTGACGGTTCTGCGGGGTTGCCGGATTATTCGACTTGCCGGAGGACTTGTGAAATTTTCTGGTGTACACCTTGTTCTCTCCCCACCTATGCTTCTCCCGCGATCCATCTCCTCCGCCGCTACCGACCAGAGGCCCCGACGCCATACATACATGCAAAACCCCCCAGAACCGAGAAGAGAGGAAGCACAAATCCCTGCGAAGGAGGACGGATACCCTCCGACCTTAAACGAACCCTCAAAACCTAGTGATTCTGAAATTGGAACGAAACAGGGGGTTTCTAGGGTTTCCAGGGTTCAAGAACACGAACTGATACCTCCCGAGCCCTAGATCCGGGGGAGAATATTCCGATCGGAGGCAGCGACGACAGCCCGCACGATTCAAGAAGGACGACGAGGTGGCGAGGAAGATGAGGAGACCTTTGAGGATCACTATGCGTTTTGTTTACCTCCAAGGTGCTCGCTCGTATGCGCGGAAGAGAGAGAGAGAGAGAGAGAGAGAGAGACACACACAAACACACACACAGAGGACCGCCTCTGCCGAGACCTTCCCCCTTCTCTATTAAATGCAGATCAGATAATCGGGCACTCACACGTGCGACCTAAATAGAAGCGGTGACCGTTTCGGCCTCTCCACACCGACATAGGAGTCGGACGAGCTCCCACGTGACAGCCCAACATACCAATTGGACCCCGAAGCCAATATCATGGCCCATTAGCCCTTCCAGGAGTGAGCCCATTGTCGCATTGCAACGGTCAAAACACCAACGGTAACCCCCGCCCCCCAAATTTAACCCTAATCTCAGAGAACCAGGAAGAAGACGACGAAGAAGGAATTCTCGATTCACAGAGCCTACGACGAGGGTTTCTGAAAACTTTTCCGGCCAGACGAAGAGCTCCGATCCCCCCATCCACATCATACATAGAGAGAGAGTGAGAGAGACAGAGAGAGAGAGAGAGAGAGGTTAGAATGGAGAGAATAAATAACCATTCTCTCGGGGGGGCTTCATCGCCGGGAAGAAGGGCGCCGGAAGGAAGAGGAAGAAGCGTCAGCGGAAGCTCCGGCCTCTGCCGCGGCCGCCCCAGCCGCGACCTCTGCCGCTGCTCCGGCCGCCGCGGGAGGAGAGGCCCTCGAGGGCTCTGTTCACGAGCTGGTTCTTGAAGGCCGCCCCCTCCGATCGAGCCTTCTTGGGGGCCTGATTCGCGCGAGGGCCCATCGTCGCGGAGGCCGTTCTCTTCTCTCTGCAAGCCCAACGGAGAGGTTTCAATACCAAGAGGAAAGGGGAGAGAGAGGAGGTCGAAGAGGGACGTGAAGGCTCGGCGGTCCCTCACCCCACGAGGGTGCCTGCGGCGGCGGCGGCTTTGCTCGGCGGTGGCTTCGGCGTCTCCTTCCACGAGAGAGTGATCTTCTCGTCCCCGATGAACGAAGGGGCCTTCGAATGCAGCGGCTAGAGAGAGAAACAGGCGATGAATTAACTATCATGCAGAGCCACGAGAGAGAAATGATGACTGAAATCTAGAGAGAGAGAGAGAGAGAGAGTATCATATCCACCTGGGTCATTGCTAGAATGTTGTTGCAGACCCGGAGCCCGGTCGTGGTGTTCTGCTTTTCGGTCTTCTGCGTGTGTTCCAGGAAGAGAGATGAATACAACAGATGCGAACCAGTTCAAGGAGAGGAGTTCAAGAGAGACTCACGATCTTGGCCTTGTCTTCTTCGGTCTTCGCGGCATTCATCGCCTTGTTGTGCTCCGCCATTCCCTGAGTAAGCTTCTTTATGGCGCCCTTCACCAGTTCTTCAGTGTACTTCAACCTGTCTCATCAGAAAGTTGGGGATCAGAGAAACTGTTGACAAAAAATTCGTCATTTTTCTGCATGAACAAAATCATATTTACTTAAACACATCAAAAATTGACAAAAATTCAACGGAAATTGGCCGGATTAAATCAGATGAAGACGATCCGATCATACGGGAGAAGAAGTTCATATCCAAGGATCTGATGGAAGGAGGCTCTCTGAACAAGATGCACCTTCTGAAAACTTCACTGCATTCCGTGCAGTTGATCAAGAACACTGCCATTAAAATGTTGTTACCCTATTTCATAATCACCATGATGTGGGTAGCTCAGCAACCTGTGATCAGTGTATATGATGATACATTACCCTTCGACCAAGAAACATGTTTCTGCAAAGGGTGGGAACGCTTAGGCTGACCACCCTGTGACAATACCGGGTTTTAGAAATTCTTCCTCGTTTCCATATTCTCCTTCCACTTCTGGGTGTGTAGCAGATGAGTTGACCTTCATTTTTTTCTACAGATGATAACACGAAAGGATGAACCAGAGATTTATGTGATCGTACTTCCAACTTACTTGTTGCGAAGGGATCCAACATGAAATCGTCAAAAACCTAAAACCCAAATATCTGCATGAAGAATGAACAGCCATGTTTGCTTCGAAATCTGGCGAGGGTGAAAATGTGCATGAAAAATGTCTTTCCTTGGGGTGAGATCATGAAAGAATTGCCTGGAATCTAGAGGAAGTTTACTGGCAAAGATAGATCCATACTGAAGATCGAAGATTACAAAGCGACGTCTGGGTTCTTGTCAGACTTTCTAAAGTAGATGACGGAGCATTGATCCCATCGAGAGTGCAGCAGGAATGATGGTAGATCCACTGCACCACGTAGTTCTTGGGAAAATATTATCTAATACTAGCCTATGACACTATCAGAGTGCAGAGATTTAAATTTATAAAATAACGGTGAAAGTATACTCCCTACTTTATTTAGAAAAAAACCCCAACCTTTGTCTGTGTAAATGCCAGCAATAAAAGGTGTAGCTTGAATTTAAATCGACTTATTTCTCACAGACTCCGCTTGGCTGCATTAAAATAATATTTTTATCTATTCCAGAGAAAGTGTTCTTCCAACAAGGAGATGAATATAACAGTAACGCAGTGAAAGATGAAGGAACCACTAAATGCTTACATTCTTAGCACAACAGGGAATAAAAGCACTGAAACATGGATTACCTCTCGGTGAAATCTTTGTAATTTTCTGAAAAATCCTCCCCGAGTCTGTCTGACGGTTGACCGGTCACAATCTTGTAACCACAGAGACTGTTGGTGGAGTTGGGAGTCTGCACCATGATTTCTGAATAAAAGGAATGCTAGAAGCAGAAATTCGTAGAAGGCCACACAAAAAGAGCCGTGATTACCTTATGAGCCAAATGGTGGAATGTATAGAGAAGGCACTCAACATAACTAAAGTTCATTCCTTCTCCTGCTTTCTTCCGAGACATGAACTTCTGCATGATGGGAGAGAGAGAGAGAGAGAGCGCAACATCAATAAGGTATTCCAGAAAGAAATGGTGGGAAAATAAGTAATGAGCTTAGGGAAGTGAAATACTAAAGCTCGATGTAAAAATGGCATGTAAATTATGACATATAGCAGAGATAAAAAAGTACAACTGAATAATAAAAATAAGATCATATTCCAAATCAGATCATTAAGAACTGAAACTCGCAATTTTGTGAAAAAGGAGCACCTTCAGAAGTTGTACAATAGATGGAAGAATCTGGCGTGAATCCTGAGGCATTGCATACGGTGAGCAACCAGCAAGTGTCTTGAGCAAATCTTGCTTTCGTTCTTCAGGAAGCTGAACATGAAAAGGTAACCGGTAAACATGCAAGAATATCACCAAAAAAATGGAATTTGCTTTTCAGCCATCATATATCTTGTAATGAAAATAGGGAAATTAAATGTCCGTACATCATACACTAAACAGTGCCTGACATTTGCTATTCAGCAATGAGTTTAGACGCAACTGAGAAAAATGTTACTGTGAGGTTGAAAGAAAATAAGGTAGAGACACATGATTTGTTTCATGATGCTCACAGTATCACTGGGAGAAGCAAAACCAACCAGTTCATAGTAGAGCAGTTGAAATGGCTTACATAAGCATACTTCACTACCTATACTTCTGATGAACAATAATTTTGAGTAAACTATATCCCTTTGCACATTTTTATTCAACTCGTCAGAAAAACATAATACAACTGCAGACTAAGTGATATGAAGATGTCTTGTTACCCTCCGAAATAACAGATATTGAAGAAAGCATATCAACTTTCTCACTGACCAGGACTGTAAAGATGTGGCAACAAACAAACAAAAAATTGCAGAAGGCCAATAGTGAACAACTGAAGATCACTACCATGGCTTAAAGATATACAAAAGGATAGGAATCATGCACTTCAAGCAATTCACAGCAACTTAGTGGATTGATGAATGAGCGGCCTTCGGAGGATTCTTTGATAGATGATATTTTCCTATCAGCTCTAGATGCTCATAGATTCATCTCTCCAAAAAGGTAGGTTTAAGCTCAGGGAAGTTTTTCACCAATGCAAATGCGTGTGAAAATGAGCTAAAAGGTTAAATAGCTTTTTTAGCTACTTTTGGATATATGCTTAACTTAGTCCCTTTAAAGAGGGTGAAGTCAAGAAAAGAAAACTAATTTGAAAATGAGGGACTCAATTACTTAAAAAAAATGCCAGACTACAAGATGTAAACTTCCTAAACCGTCACGTACATGGACTTGGAAAAAGAGTCTCCAAATGATAGATACATTTAGCCAATCATATGCTCCTCTAAAAAATAAAAGAATATGCCACTGTTTGAAGAAAAACACTAGCAGTGATATGTTTCCCTGTCAGAAATCTGGCTAGAAACTAACCAACGAGACTCAAGAGAGCTATTTTGGAGCAGAATCAAGTTTTTGTTGGGCAAACCAACACCAAAGGAGTAACAATTCTTTTAACAAAAAAGCTAAGTTTCAACAGCCATCCTACCGAGTTTTCCACAAAAAGGAGTTAACAAAACGATTCAGATGCTATTCGCAATTTTTCTAACAGCCGATAGAACTTCCCCAAAATACATGAAAAGGGAAGTGAAAAAAAAGCCCCAACATTATCAATTACAAATGCTAATTCTACCTCCCTGACAAATAGTTAAGATACTAGCCATTAACCTATTTTCACGGCGGTATTCTGCTTCATTTCTCACGTTGTTCTTTCTGCTCCCTCTCTTCCCCTCTCCATCTAATAACTCTTTTCTCGTTTTCGTTCCACTTCACTCTCTATTACTATCCTTTTATTCTCACTTCTTTCCTTTTTCCCTGTCATTTAATTTTGTTATCCAGGGTTCATCTGAACAGGGCACTCAAAGATAATCAGGAACATAAATCCGAGCCAATTCATCAAGCCTAGGTCTCAGAGAGTATCCAGATGAAGATTGATAACTTATAATTATTAATGAAAACTGGAAAAAAATAGGTCTCGTTAGAGCAGGAATTCATAATAAATACCTTGTCAAAAACAGGAATCACACATTTGTTATAGTAACTGAGAAACTTGCTGCTTGATGCACCTCTCTGGAGAAAAACAAATCGTCATTTAAAAAATAAATAGAAAGAATCTATGATAAGAGAACAAAATAGTCCAACCTAGCAGAAAGAAAAACGTTTGGCATCCTACACATACCATAAAATATGGAACAGCCATGAACATACACGAAATCAATCGGTCTATATGGTCAATATCAGAAACCTGCAGGACAGATTTAAGAGCACATTAGCAAGACCAAGAAACAAAGAATCCAAATGCAGTGCTTAGAACCACATGCATCTCAAAAATGTGTAACGTGAAGCGAAAAATCATAAGGTCTCTCCCATTTGGATCTCTTCAGAGGTAACCTGTTCCTTAGACATCACAGCCTTCAAAACAATTTTTGAAAATGTTTTATTTGCACAGTAATTTAACAAAACATATTATCGAGACCCTTTTGCTAACATAGCTGCACAATTTTAAAAAGGTGACATGAATTAAATAATAATAATTACTTACATTAAATTGCACATCTAGATCAGCTTGCCCCTCAATGATTTCAATAAGTTCCTGAATGCGGTCTGGAGGAGCACTTTCTCCAAAAATGCTCAAACTGCTGAGGAAGTCCATAAACAATTTGAATTCTGCACCAGTGACATCTCGCAAACTCTGAAAACACATAGTGCATTTAAATTTACGGGTATGATTGATACCCAAAAAATATTTTAAAATAGAACATGTCTGATGCATCTATTATGAAAAGACAACACTCAGAACAAGAGTTTAAAAATTCACATATATGGGCACTTGTATAAACGAACCAACTCAACTACTAGCAAAAATGATCTCCAAGTCTAGAAAATATAAACCAAAAATACCTTTTTAACTAAATCTGTCACATGTCTTTCCATTTGCTCTTGAGGCTTTAGAAGCTCCGCTTTGAGAGGAAACACCTGGAATGGACATAATTTGGTAAATTGAAGTTTAAACACAAACAATATGTACCTTTGGATATTATTGTAAAGTTTTGAGTAAAGAATCAAGAAACATACTTTGTCCTTGAGGAAATAAATAACCTTCTCACGGATATTCTCATCACTTGATTCAACATGCTTAAACAAGCCTGACAGGGAAGCTGCAAAAGTTCAAAAACACGCATTAAAAGGAGAGCATCACCTGAGTACTGAATTATCATGAACAAGTTCCTTGAGGTTCCTAAATCAGCGGGACAACAAAGAATTTGATCGTTGTAAATGAACCTCAAGAGGCACGAAAAGACCAATATTATATTTTCCATCTTTTAAAATGTGAAAAATTGAATTTCCCTCGCCTAAGATTTTTTGAACCCAGATGAGAATAGTTGTGGAAAACTAGGCAATGAATTGAGACCACTCAGGAACAAAGAAATGAAGTCATCTGGAATGTCAATTTCACTAATAGAAGCAACATGTCCCCTCTTGCCAAAATATTCCTGATCCTTTAGAATTCACATCAAGCGATTCCATTACTCAAAATGATAGATTCCTAAAGTGGAAAATTGTCGATTTTTTTCATTCCACACTCTGAAATTCAACTATTAAAAAACAAAACGTTTCATATTTATTGGATATACGAAATAAAATATCAGGTAAAAGACAATTCAGCAGTAGCATGAATTTGTGAGTTTTCCTGCAAGATTTTTTGTTTAACATAGAGCATTTTTACGGCTTAGCATTCAGTAAAGAATAAAAGCAAATCTCAAATGATGAATCTTATATTATTCCAACGATACACATTACCTTTCGCATCTTGTCTCAAAAGAGACATGAGAGCCTTGTGCACAGCATCACGCTCCACATTTTCCTCTTTAAGGAAAAAATATAGTTAATATTGCAGAAATCGATAAGAACTCTGAAACACACAAAAACAAAAACTTACCAGCTACCAAAAGTTGACCGAGGACATCAACAATTTTAGTAACATAATCGGGTGTATCTTTACATAGAAGAGGAAGTCCACGAATGGCTTGAACCCTGATCTGTAACATAAATAAGGAAACTTCATTTTAGTTCCATTCATAAAAAACATTAAGCATCTGCAAGGAGCACTGGAGAAAAGGGGAAAATATCACAGCCTCATATGGCAAGCACTATAATTTCATTAAGAACCAAAAAGTTCATGTGGCCATCTGTCAGAAGAAGAAGAGATTGAAGAAATTTCAAAACAAAAAGCAAAATTTTCGGGCAACAACTTGCACGAAAAAAAGCAATCCATTGTATATATTCTGAACTTTAAAAAAAAATGATACCGGTGTAATTTCGAATGAGTCCAGATATGAATAGGGGAAGCAGAGCCAACAAGTATTCGCTTCCAAGCTGTTTGATTCTTGCATGCCTAGGTTTCATCTACCCCAGCATGTTATCCACAGTATAAGTTCAGCAAGACTCTAGAAGTGAGGACAACGAAAAATTACTCCCACATGGAGTATTTGGTCTTATTAACAGATAAATCAGCTTTTATGCACCAAACATTCATCAGGAGCAAAGAAAACCCAAATTTCAATACGGCTCCAACCGTAAATTGTTGTCCCGGATGGAGATACCAGTGATATGAAATGGACTGGCGTATTTCCAAGGAGATGCGTTTGTATACTATGGAGAACAGGCCAAAAACTAATAGTGCTAATTAAGATGATCCTTCCAAAGCATGAATCAGACAACAAACTAAATTAGACACGATTAAGTAAAAATGAATGAAGACCAGACTATTATATTCCAGGGGAGACTCTAAAATAGAGTTCGGATATGTTGCAACCAATTACAACGGTTTTCTCCCAGCCTCAAGGTAATCAAGACAACAGAACCAAAAAGAAGAAAAGAAAAACAATAAGAACATATCTTTCATTCTACTGCAGCCACCGGTGCTCACACTTCAGCCTCCCACAGGTACGATTTGCTAAGTACTACTGTGGCTACCACAAGCATTCCATTTTCTTTAGGATCTAAGTTCCCCATTATTTCTTAATTTCTCTCTGCTACAATTTCCCTTTCGTCTCTCTTTTTCCATCTCCACATCTTCATCCTATCCCTTCCTCTAAGATTTTAGAGGAAACAGCACTACCAAATTTTCTGCGTAGACTTTATGCAGCACCAGAAAAAAATCAATGGAAAAAGGGTAAAATCCAAATTAGCTCGATATCTCTCTCAAAAGTCATGCTCTTTTGAAGAATAATATAAATGGAGAGGGCTCCAAAACAATCCTTCATCAGATATTCAGAAGTCTACAACCAAACGATTGGATAGTCGTATATAAGCACCTCATGGTAATATCGAATGTGACGGGTTCAAATGAGTGAAATAATAATTTTTATTAGAATAATAAAATAAAATATAGTCCAGACTAACAGTGGCAACAAAAAAATAGAAGAATGCATGTAAAGATAAAAGAAGAACAGTAACACGCTGTATAACATGGGCATGTAAGTTATGGTCAATCTGAAATTACAACTGTGTTTAAGCATACTGACAAACTACCAACGTAGTTTCTCTCGTAAAGCACCAAATAACTCAAGAATCTGTCTTCGGCTACCTTCAAAATAGGCTAACTTAAGAAAGTCTAGGATTGCCTGCAATTATTCTAAAAAAACAAACACTCGATATTGAAGCATACAATAGTCTGAGCCACTACCAAACAGCAACAGAAATTTAACAAGCATCTTCACTTCTCACGGAAAAAAGCAATATGATAGTAGATATGGAGATAGGCCGTCAAAAGGTGAAACCTGAATTAGTGAGAAATAGATTGAGAATGCAGATGGCACACATTGCATTCCGAAAGTGGATGGGAATTACAAATACATGTGTTACAGAGAGAAAGGTGTCGTTCGAAATTATGAAGTCTGATTAGGGAGAGATCCCGTTTATTAAAATTGACGCATAACCGAAATTCCCACGGGTTAGTAGATATATGTCACAATGTGAAATTCAGGCATGAAATGGTCATCTTTTAAAGGACTAAACCAGCTAACAAGAGTGATACTGAAGAGACCGGAAAAAGATCCTAACTTTAAGAAGCTCTATTTTCACATAAAGGAGGATGAAATACTGCTGCAAGGGCATTACATTATCTCGTCACCAAAACAGCTCGTGCACCCGAGCTCATCAAAATTCGACATTTACTTTTGGAGGATATTTTCCGGATAGTGAGCACCACGTTTTATTTTTCTACAAAAGTACCGTTTTCGGGGAAAGAGACCATCCCCATCAGAATGAAAATTGTTAAAGAACCAAACCAGCTCTTCTTCAATTTATGAAATGTCTTATAAATTTTCCTGTATATTTTACTCGCCTGTCCGACTAAAAGGTGTTTTAAACTAAATATGAAAAACAATATTCCGTTGGAACTAGTAGGAGCGTTTAGAGAAACTACGTGTTCAGTTATTTTCTACGCTTATACAAATCTCCCTTTCATACTTCCTCTTCCAAACTTTCCTTTTCCCCTCTTTATGACTTTCAACATTAAATATGTGATGAACCTAAGCAAAAACTTATTTCAATGTTTAAAATTTATAAGTAGGAAGCCATCTTTATGGAGAAAACAATTGTTTTAGAGGTTAATAAAACGAATTTCACAACAGACCAAGGAGTCAAGAATGCTCGCCTTCTCTCCTCTCCCTTGAACGGTACAAAATGGTCGAGTCAACCCGAAAACTAAGAGAAGTAGTTTTCCAGCAGCAATATGCCGGAAGGATTCTCCCAAATACCAGTGAATATAAGCACTCATTAACTAGGATCGCAAAATAAAAAGGCAACTGAGAGGAGCGGAGCCGCAGATGTTACCCCAAGCTCTTCCTCTTCGAGTAAGTCAAAGTGCGCAGAGGCGGCTTTGCTGGCGAGCCCCGGGAAGAACTTGAAAAACTTCGGGATAAGCTGAGCAGCCAGCTGCTTCGCCTTCGTACTACCCTGCTGCACCGCCATTAAAATACCTTCATAGTCGCCCACATGCTGCATTAACAGAACACGGAGAAACAGGGTCAGACCACGCGCAGATAAACGCGAGGAGCCGATGGGGAAAACCCTAATCGGAGTACTAGCGGCTCGGTAAGGAAACAAACCTGGGATTTGTCCTTCGCTTCATTGAGGCGCTCGCCATACTGGTAGAGATTCTCGACCTCGGCGGCGTCGGCCGCTCCGTCGGTAGCCATCCCCGCCGAAGAGAGAGAAAGAAGAGAGAAATCGTCCTCAGACGTCGCTACAAAGCTGCTCTCGCAGAGCTTCCAAAGCCCCCTCGACGGCTACAACTTCTCTCTCAAGCCCTTGCCTTCTTCTCCCGCGAAGAGCGCGAAGAGAAGGGGGGGGGGGGAGACATTGGTAAACCGTGGACCCTGAAATTGCATGATCAGATCAGACGGTACAGAGAGGTGGTTTCCCCGAAGCCCATCCGTCCGTCCATTCAGGCCGATCGTGGACCTGATGGAATATCTGACTATTTAAAAAAGAAACATTGTTAATACCAATATTCCTTTTCTGTCGATTAATTTGATAACGGAAATTAGGTCCGCACGTGTCTGATCCTCTAAATGGGTTTGTAAAGTCTCGAAGCATATTTACTTTAAATATCATAATTTGTTGATAAATGGGGCGTAGCTTTACGGGTTTATCTCGGCTGACCCATTGACCAATAATTAATGTGTTGACTTATGTGACTACACACAAAAATCGTCCACTAAGCCACTTCATCTAAGGATTTGACCCCATGACCTATGGCAAGTGTCCACTAACGAGCCATTGTCAGTGAAGAGTTCAGCTGAAAGCATCTAGTTTGACTGCTTACCTAGGTTGACAACATGGAGGGGGGTAGAGCCTAAAAAAGGGCATTGACTCTCCTCCAACTATTTTTAAAAAATCAATTTAATGCCAATATTATTTTTTTGATCGCTTAGTTTGATAACGGGAAAGTCTCAAACATGTATGTTTAATGAATACTTTATGAAATAAAATATAATAATTTGTTAATAAGTGAGGTGCAGTTTCAAGGGTTTCTCCAGCTCATGGTCAACGGTACATATGAAGAACAACCCTCCACTGAGCGGACTTGCACCCAACTAGCCGCTTCTTGTAAAGATTTGGCACGTTGACTTAGGTGCACGAGTCAACGAATGAGCACTTTCCTATGATCACCTTTGTCACGAGTTTTTTTTGAAGAGAGTTTAGCTAAGAGTGTCGAGTTTGAAAAGTTGGGGCCGGTTTGACGACCGGGCAGTATTAAGCCTAAAATGGATGTTGACTATCCTCCAACTATTATTTAAAAAATCGGTTTAGTATCAATATTCATTTTTTTCAATTAATTTGATAACGGAAAATAGGTCCACGTGGCTACGCCCATAAATGGGCTGAAAAAGTCTAAAACCCTATTAATTTCTAATGAGGACTTTGTGCAACGAAAAATAATGATTTATCAATAGACGGGGGTGCAGTTTTAAGCGTTTATCTCAGCTGACTTGCAGCCAAAGAACCACTTATAGTAAAGATTTGGCTCGTTGACCTGTGTATAAAGTCAACGCACGAGCCACTTTCATACTGCGCTCTTACGCAGAGAGCTCAGCTGAGAGTGTTGAGTTTGATTCCTCGGGCCGTTTCGGGCTCACACGACTGGGTGTTGACTCGTGTTGACAATCAGGATTTTCATGTCAGCGCAAGGAGATGCATCCCTTCGAGGTCTCAGATGCCAGTCGAAGCAAAAAAAAAACATCCCTCGTCCCTCCAGGGGAGATTGGGCGGGCCCTCGGCCACTTGCCTGGTCTGACCTCGCAGTCAGAGGTGAGGGAGGGGGATGTGGGGACACCACTGCATCTGCAGAGAGGGAGCGGGGGAGGGAGGACCATGGCGCAGAGTCGGTGGCTTAAATGGGTCCCCTCCTCCTTCCATTCCCCTCCACTGGGTTTCAAATTTCAGTCTCACTGCCGCCCAAAATTCCGCATTTGCTTTCCCCCCCCCCCCTTTTCCGTCTCCTCGCCCGGAGAGAAGCCTCTGCCGCAGGCGATGGGGGATCTGAGAATGAACGCGGGGAGGTTCGTCAAGTGCGTCACCGTCGGCGACGGAGCTGTGGGGAAGACCTGCATGCTCATCTCCTACACCAGTAACACCTTCCCCATGGTAAGCGATCGTCGAATTCCTCAGAAACCTGCCGAGAATCGGGGGCTTTGATCGGCGGTTGTTACTCGCTTGGCTGATTTCCTTTCCTTGTTCCGGTGGGGATAGGATTATGTTCCTACAGTCTTCGACAACTTCAGCGCCAACGTGATCGTCAATGGCAGCACGGTGAATCTCGGAATCTGGGATACTGCCGGTGAGCTCCTCCACCTTCTCCTTCCTCGCAAATCTCCTCGATCTGCGCAGTTCATATGATTCGAAAAGTAGTCTCGATTTGGGGTTTCTTACATCTTACCAAAATCATGGTAGGGTTTCTTACGTCTTACCAAAATCATCCACTGTAAACCGTGTTTCTGGTAAAGGATTTGGGGACAGGGAAAGAGAAAGGCTCCCTGCAAAATCCCTGGCCATGTCCGTCGTTAATGCTTCTCAGAGCAATCCACCATTTCTGCTAGGACGAAGCTGCCGCTCGTTCATCGTAGTTTCTCGGTCTGGTCACTAAGCTTTCAAGAAAATTGTTCAGAAGAAAGCTCCAATCTCCACATGAATCCATTTTACAGGTCAGGAGGACTACAACAGGCTCAGGCCTCTCAGCTACAGAGGAGCAGATGTCTTCCTGTTAGCCTTTTCACTCGTCAGCAGGCCCAGCTATGAAAACATCTCCAAGAAGGTTTCACGTCCTGAATCCCCTTCTAGACCTGGTTTCTTCCCTCTGATGCCACCCGCTGGTTTCCATCTCCTGTTGCAGTGGGTCCATGAACTGAGGCACTATGCACCGTCTGTACCTGTTGTGCTCGTGGGAACAAAGCAAGGTAGCCTCCGATGTTGATCTCATAATCTCCATATTATTCAGGGAATGATACCGTCAAGTTCAATAAACAGAGGTTATCTAGAATATCTGCGTCATGCTGGCTGGCGTTAGGGGATAATATCATTCATCGAACATTATTTTAGATGGCAGTATAAAGTTTTTGATGTAGTCTGTAAATAATTTTTCCATGACGATGTTCCTCATCATTCTTCTGCTTCGATTGGGTCCTGCAGATTTGCGGGACGACGAGCAGTTCTTGGTCGACCACCCTGGTGCAACTCCCATCACTACTGCCCAAGTAAAACCTCTAACACAGGAGAAATCACAGGATATCCAGGAATTCATATCTGTTCCTGATCATTTTACTTCTCTTTTCTTTTTTAATCGAGCCAGGGGGAGGAACTGAGGAGGCTGATTGGCGCCGCTGCCTACATAGAATGCAGTGCCAAGACTCAGCAGGTATGCTCAGATGAAATCACCAGTTTACAACGAATCTTTTGATTATTTCACTCAGTTATTTTCTTGGGCATCGGAGTAGAGAAATTATCTCATGGGTTGCCATTGTTCTCCTGCTAATTGGCAGAAACAAAACCCTTGTAGAATCACAGCCGGTAGCTATCATATCCCATGTATTCTCGCTCCTACTGTGGCTATAAACATGTTCATGTGGGATTCAGCTGGCGTCTCAGATCAGACGACCAAATCATCTTAGATCTAAATTATCTGAAGTTCAGAAAATAATGAATGCCCCCTCGCCTGCTTTTTTTTTTTGTTTTCTCGTTGCAGAATGTGAAGGCGGTGTTCGATGCTGCCATCAGGGTGGTGCTGCAGCCACTGAAAACAAAGAGAAGGAAGCGGAAGCAGAGATCCTGTATATTTCTGTAAGCTCGGGGGGGTCCAGACTGGCATCGTATCGAGCTGCCGGCGACTTCTTCCCTCTTGCGCCCCTCAAATCGAGACGCTTATTGATATCTATTCTGAGATATATATATATAGAATGATCTGAGTAGGCCCTCTGCACCGTGTTTCCTCTTCGTTCGCTTTACACAGATGGGGAGGAGGGAGGAGGAATTAGATTCTCACCGGAGCATTCGTTGGCCTCCACGTGGTGGATTTCTGTTGCCTCAAAACCCATGAGTGGGCCCTTCTTTCTAAGTTTCTCTCTGTAAACCTTAACAGCATCAATGGGCTTGCTCAAAGTAGCCCAGTCCTCCCCACAGTGATCAGCCTGGATTCGTAAATGTTGCTAAGAATGGCCTTCCTCCATCTGTGCTGACGAAAGCTCAGAGCCGATCATCTACTTATCGCTGCTCCATGAATGGGCCTCATTGGGGGCCATCTTTGGGCATAAAATTGTAGTCTTTTTCAACTGGGCGCTGTGGCCCGGCTGCGGCCGAGGTAACCCTTAGATCCCCTGCTGTCGCCCGCGAGTGTATTTAAGCCTCGGCCTGCGTAGTCGGGGAGGACGGGGAGCTCAGAGAGAAAATGGCGGGTTCGCTGCTGCGCAGCCTTTGGCCTGCCGGCCGGAGGGCTCTTACCGTAGCCTCCTCCTCTGGGAATGTCAAGGCGGCGCCGCCCCCTAGGACGGTGGTTTCTCTTGCGTCCTCTCTCGTGTGCCGCCGCTTTGCCACCGCCGCTGCGTCCCCCGCGGCCGCGGCAGCGGCGTTGGACCCCAGCCGGCTGAGGAACGTGGCGGTGATTGCTCACGTTGACCACGGGAAGACGACTCTCATGGACCGGCTTCTCCGACAGTGTGGAGCCGACATCCCGCACGAGCGGGCGATGGACTCGATCAATCTCGAGCGCGAGCGCGGGATCACCATCGCTTCCAAAGTCGGACAAGCTTAAGCCCGAGCTTGATTTCTGTCCCTGTATGTAAAAATGCCTCAGGTTTTCTGCTCGACTGCCTTTCACTCTCTGTGTGGATTCAGGTGACTTCCATCTCCTGGAAGGAGAGTGAGCTGAACATGGTGGATACGCCGGGACACGCTGATTTCGGCGGAGAAGTGCGTAGTCTTCTACGTGACGGATATCTGTCTGAAATTTGCTATCGTCAGTAAGATGGGTAATTCATTTATCTGCTCTGGAACAGGTCGAACGGGTCGTTGGGATGGTGGAGGGAGCTATCCTGGTGGTAGACGCCGGGGAGGGCCCTCTTGCGCAGACGAAGTTTGTTCTGGCTAAAGCGTTGAAGTATGGACTGCGCCCCATACTGCTGCTTAATAAAGTCGATCGCCCTTCAGGTGCGCCTTTCTTGTAGCTGATTCTTGAATGTGATATTTTGGTGCAGTTGACTTCTTTGCGGTGAACTGGTAAGACTTTGGTGGACACGTTGCTTGAAAAAGTAAGAAGCGCTGATGAGTCAGAATCAATAGAAAGACGAGATCATGTCCTATGCCCATATTAAATGGACCAGTGCTTCCTGAAAGAAGTATGCGACCGGGGGGGGGGGGGGGGGGGCACCGCTTTTCTGTTGGCTTTTATTCATAGTGCAATTGCATTGAACAATTGCAAGACAGTTTTTACTTGTAGTAATAAAGTCAAACGTGGATGCCGAATTAATGTAGCAAAAAGAAATACCAGCCTCTTGGGACAGGATGGATGGAGGCAGATTGAGTCAGTTGTTTGTCTGTTGGAATTTAAGAGAAATGCGTTCAATATCAATAAGGGCAAAGTAAAAGAGGTAGAAATCATGAAAATGCCTGATATTCTGATATATTCAGACGAATAAATACTGGTTTTTCGGAAAAAACGTGGATTAACTTTATCATATTGTCAATAATAAGCTCCAAGGCATTTTGGGTACCTACAAGCATTCTCTAAGGTCTGAAGTATGTCAGCTCCTTGAGTCAGCTCCTTACATCTTTAATAAGGAAGCATTCTTACATCTTTAACTTCTATCTTCTGAAGGATATTTTGAGTCAGCTCCTTGTTCTCCACTTGCATTAAGGTCAGGGTGAAGTGTATTGTAAATCTAAAAATAAATAGTCATAAGAATAATCTAATTTTGGGATGGAATGCATCTGAAATACGTTTAACTCCAGAATCTTGGAAAAAGATACTAATTATGGCGTTATGTTCTTGAGTTTTGCCAATTCTTCTGTGTCATTTATCAAATGCTAAGCTGATGGGAATAGAGAGCCAGTTTTTGTCTGTTCGTGAATGAATATTGTTTTTAGTGAAGGGGAAGGGAGTATGAGGAGCAAGTCTGAGAAATTTGGTTCGTTTCATTTTGGTTATTTACCTGACTTAATTTTATGTTTTTTTATAAGTTCACCCATGGGTTTAATGCCATATCCTTTTTTTGTAAGGAACTATGTAGATGCACTCTTTTTGGTCATGTTCCTTAATAACTAGGGATCTATATATGGACATATGAAAAAAAAAAGAGAAAGAATGGATCCTATGGATAACTAGTTTTTTGTTGAGAAACAGGCATACTTTGCAATCAGTAGAAAGGTACTGAGTCGGTTTGTTGGCTCATAGCCTTTGGCGTCTGCTTAGTTTGTTGAGACAAACTGGTTACTGTAACAAATTTAAATGGGAATAAATAGAAACTTTTGATATTTAGTGATTTCTCGAATTTGAATTTTCGAGTTTCATATTCATAATCTTATTTATGAATTCCGTCACCTTAAGAACATTTTTGTGCAGTTTCTGAAGAAACCTGTAATGAGGTTGAGAGCCTGGTATTTGATCTTTTTGCAAATCTTGGCGCCACAGGTAACCTGTTTATGCACTGACATTTATTCTTTGGCTTGTTTCTCTGGTGCATCATTTTTAAAGCTTCACAATTTTAAAACTTGTTCCTATTTGCAGAGGAACAGCTAGATTTTCCAGTTCTTTATGCTTCTGCCAAGGAAGGCTGGGCTTCTCTAACATTCACAAAAAGCCCTGATGATGGTGAAAAGAATATGTCGGCTCTTCTTGATGCCATTATAAAGCACGTTCCCGCCCCATCTGCAAGCCTCGAATCTCCATTTCAGATGCTGGTTAGTATGGGATTTTAGATATGCCTGCAATGTATTCATGTTTTGCCAATCATCATGAAATTTACGCTTCTTCCTTTAGTTCTTAGTTATCGAGCTCTTGTCTACTCATCTTTTTGTAGACGTTTCAGAATGGTCTGTTGAGCCCTCCTTGAGAATTTTTTCTATACCTATTTGTGTATTTTATTTAGATGGCAGTTATTGGAATCAGGAGACATGTATGTAGACTAGGCATTGATCAGAAGGTAAAGCTTTGCATGGACAGGATAGTCTTTTTACGGAAAGTGCAATCTAGGATCTTGAGCTTTTTACGGAAAACCGTTGGTTTGCTGCCTTCTGACTTTAGATTTCCCGAGCAACCGGTTGTTATCTCTCATATTAGTTTAATGTTTTCATTATAATGAAACTTGTACAAAACTACACTGGAGCTTTGGTCGGATCTACAATCATGGACTAACTTTTCTGTTCTTTGACATTTGAGGAGACTAAAAATTTGATTTGTAATTTTTTGACTTTTTCTTTTATGCTGGAAAAGTGAGTATGTAAGATTCACTGCCGATTTTCTTTCTATGGTTGACGAATGTTTCTTTTTTTATGGGGGCCATCATTTTTGGGTGCACAAACTTGTGTAAATCTTTGGAGTTCATGAAGATTGTTCTGTATTTTTTGGTTTTTATTTTGAATCGACAGGCATTGAGATACACCTAATTCTTAATCAGCATCATCATCACTGACAATCTTTTCGTGGGGGCATGCATCATATTTCTTATTTATGTGGACGTTCGAAATATGCACTCCAGTTTTTTGTAGGTTTCTATGATGGAGCGCGACTTTTATCTTGGACGAATACTGACTGGCCGAATTTTCTCTGGGGTTATTCAAATTGGAGACAGAATACACGCACTACGTAACACTGATAAAGGAACTGAGAAGATTGAGGAAGGAAAGGTCATTGCAAATAAATATGTGTATCTATAACCTTAATGTAGACATGCATTCTAGCAATATGAGTTCTTTGTTTCCTCAAATGTGTGAAACTCATCCACCATGGCTGCTTCTGTAGATTACGAAGCTTATGAAGAAGAAGGGCACATCGATGATAATGATCGATAGTGCTGGAGCTGGTGACATTATCTCAATGGCTGGGTTAGCAAGTCCATCAATTGGTCACACAGTAGCAAATGTAGACGTATGTTTCTTTCCAACATTTTCCTTTGGCATGTTTTATTCTTTTATTCATGGCCTGACCAAAACTAGTCCTCTATTATTCTGTTTCGTTTGTTTTGGATTCACCTTTTATGGTGGCCATACTGTCAGTGTGAATGTTTGGCCACACTGAAAATTTGTCAATAAAATATTTCCAACTTTACTGGGAATTCTCGCTCAGGTTTTCTACGGCTCATCACATCAGTTTCTCAATTTTTTCTTTCTCCATCATGTTGTCAGTTTAAGGAACTCTGCTTCATACATGTGGATTTATTAGCTTTATTTTGGCAATGTGGTTGTTTTTTTTTATGATTTTGGAGTACTCGCAGTGAATTGCGATTTTTTTGTGAATTAGTCTGCTCCTGGCTGTATTTAGCTTTGTGCATTTTTTTCATTTGACATTAAATTTTGACTACAGACTTGTTACTTCTCTCTGTGTATTCTGAAAGTGTAATCACAAGGAGGATTCTCGCAGAAAAGTTCGTACGGGCATTCTTTTTAGTGTCTTGAAACCGTGTTGCTTATCGTAATTGTTTATAGATCTATCGTTCTGCATATTTGTGAAATGTTTTCCTATTTAACTGCAGTCTATCAAACCGTAATCTCAATCAGCATGTCTATATGAAAAACATTCAAATATTGAACAAAAAAAATGTGATGTCGTTTTCCCTCGTTTCGAATCACCATTAAGTAGTTTTAATGCCTAGTGATGATCACTGCAGGTTATGACTCCTCTGCCAACTGTTGAGCTCGACCCACCAACCATTTCCATGACCTTTGGTGTAAACGATTCTCCTTTGGCCGGCCGTGATGGAAGTCATGTAAGTAGAGTTTTCCTGTTAATAAAACTTATATCTTTGAATTTTTTATTGCTGACTTCATTCTGTCATTCTCATGAATGCCAAGATCTTGGTTCTGCATTTAATGTCTTGGTCAGTGGTTTTGATGCCTGAATATGCCTGAAAATCTATGCAGTAGTCGAGCTACTTTTTTCTCTTGAAAATTACTCCAAGAACCTTATAATTGGGCTAGTTCACATTAACACAATGATGGTTGGACCTTTCTCATGAAGGACTAAAGTGGAGCGTTTCCCCACCTTGACTTTTAGGTATTGCATCTCCTTGAAGAAAAAATACTTATCTATTGTACAATCTCATCATTGATCAGAGTGAAGGCCCATTGAAAACATATACTCTAGATTTGAAAGTGACTGTAATTCTTCAAAAACTAACTCTGGATACTTCCTTGTGATGATGTCTGCATGGCACACTGTCATGCAACGTGCCTTATGCTCTTCCACAGTTAAATTAGTCTACCTTTAGAGTTCACGTCCTTCTATTTTTATTTGAAACAATCTCTATCTTGGGTTTTCCCTGGAAAACCGTGTACGTACATGGTCCATGCCTTCATTTTTTTTATAATTAAAGTATCCATTGTTACTCCTGGAGTATCTCCTCCCCATATTCTTTTGTTTTTTTTTAATCTGAGAGTTAGATGTCATTTTTCTGTGGTAATCAAAGTCTCCTCCGAAAAGTCTTCCTATTATATCTCTGTCTTGGAGTTGCTTACATGGAGGGTCTTTTATTTAGAATTCTTCAGACTTTCTATCTCCTTCTTGAAAATCTGACTGTTCGTTAGAGAATTCTTGAAAGGCTTTTGTTCGAGTACACTGTTGACATAATTGTTCTTTTCTCTAATCTTTTCCCGCCTCTTTCACATTGACTCCATATGTCAAATAAATCCTGTAACTCCATATTGTGGAGTTGGTCATTGCTTTTAGTGTTCCGTAGCATAGCGATTTATCATTCATTCCACCTTGTCTCTTAGAGGATTTGGTGGATGTAGTTCTTATTTAGCCATGGTCTTTAATGATACTGCTAATGTGCAGTTAACCGGAGGAAAAATAGGTGACCGTCTGATGGCAGAAGCAGAAACAAATCTCGCCATAAACGTGCTTCCTGGGCTGCTATCAGATTCTTATGAAGTGCAAGGAAGAGGGGAACTACAATTAGGTCTAATTCTTATCACCTCGATGTTTTTTGAAATGTTTCATGGAAAGCCAGCACACAATTTCGAGGATAACCATTTTTTGTGTTGTAATTCATCACTGTCATTTTTTATGCAGCAATTGAACCTTTGATAACAACTTATTTAAACGATCATTCCTTTCGGATCCACAGGTATCTTAATTGAGAACATGAGACGCGAAGGTTTTGAACTCTCCGTATCACCTCCAAGGGTTATGTGAGTTGCCTTGTAAATCTACTTAATGTCTTTTCTATATCGATTTATATTTTTTTTGTCTATGAAACGCACAAATGTCAATTTAGACAATATGAAGTATGTACGCCTATTCCATAGGAAATTATGAAAAAGCGCACTTCCTCCAGTGAAATCATTTTGATCCTCGAAATCATGGTGACCATGGTGGTTGGATTTCTTGTAAAATAATGAGACAAATCGTTGGTGTTGATTGTGAAGGGGAAGGTTTGATGTCCTCAATGAGGGCGTGGCCAAGCCAGGACTGGCATTCCAATGGATCCGCAATTATTCAATTTGCGCAACTTGAACTTTCTGAATGCCATGAGGATGTTATTTTTGAAAAAAGAGCCCTTAATCTGTCAAAATTTCCTCTGAAATCATCAGCAATAAGCTTGACCAAGCAAAGAGGTGTGGAATTGAAACACGGGGGATGTGTTAGTTCTTGGGCGAGAAATGGTAACTCCGGGAGGAAATGACAAAATAACGCCACCATTTGGGTTGGTTTCCACTACGTTATCTAAGTGTGCGGCGAAATCCAATATGGGATCCAGTATCATGATCTTTTAGACTTTTGGAATATCTGAAGCGAAATGGTGGATTAGATAAGAGCTAGCTTACCTTCTAATAAGCCAATGAGCTATATGGGTACATCATTGTCATCCATGAACTAAGTCGCTTTCTGAAACTGAGTTACGTAGAATACGCAATAGAGGCAATGTGTCAATTAATTGGAAAATATGGGGCAGCAGAACCTTGCTTGACAAATCATTTCCTGGGGCTGAAGGTGTGTCAATCAAGGCCATTCCATGGCCAAAGATTAAAGATTGTTGAATACTGATGAATGAGAGGGTGTTGAGTTGTTTAAATCTTTATGTGGCTGATGTTATGGTGCTTTTATAGTAATGTACTGACGCTCGCATATTCTGCCTATTTTGTGTAGTTGTTCCATTTGACCATTGAGTAGTCACATTAGTTTTTCTTGGTCGTTGATGTTTATTCTGACAGGTATAAAACTGAGAAAGGTGTAAAGCTTGAACCTATAGAAGAAGTGACAATCGAGGTACTGCTTACTAGTGCTTTCCTCTTTTGTGGATTTTGAAAATCTTTTCCCTTTTCCCTGGCGAGTCAGACTTCATGAGCGTCGTTCTCTAGGTGAGTGAAGATCATGTGGGGCTGGTGATGGAGGCCCTTTCACATAGGCGTGCTGAAGTCCTTGATATGGGTCCTGTCCCAGGGAGTGTAGACAGGACAAGAATGTCTTTGACTTGCCCTTCCAGGTCGGTATTCTTCTCATTTTAACGCTTCATGTGGAATATCACCAGTTAAATTTATCATCTCGGGTCTGTAGCTTTTATTTAAATTCGATTTTCCTGTTTTACTCCACGACATAAAATGCATTTCATCCTTCACAGCTACCGATTAGATTGCTTTGAATTTCTCTCTCATGCACAAGCCTATGCATAGGATTTCTGCGTAGCATTCTATGCTACTCTCTGTTATGTATAAACTAATGAGCCTTTTTAGTGATTAATGATTCTTTTGTGTCATGGACACTCTCCCGCTTTCATAATCTATCCAATTTTTGTGTGGGATGGAATTGAGAACTGACAGGGCATCATTTTTTGGTCTACAGGGGCTTAGTTGGTTATAGGAGTGTCTTTAGCAGTGATACACGTGGTACTGGATTTATGCATCGTGCCTTCCTAAGTATGTATCTTCTGTGCCAACTACTTTCCAGTTTTTTTTTTTTTTGTGTGCAATTTTGAGAGTTATATCCTGCTCTAGAAAGCATTATCTCTACTGGGTTATGCTCTTCTGAGATGCTAATGAACAAAAAATCAGGTAGGTTTCTCCATCTTTAAGAAAGTGGTCTAGTAACTTGGGGTGTCTGGAAAGTAGGAATACTGTTTGAGTTCTTTTGTCTGAGGCTTGATCCATGCGTCTGGCTCTTCTGCCAAGAGCTGTTGGTGCATGTTAGGAATCAGACTACTTCTCTGCTATGGCTACTGTTTTTGGCTGGTGGAATACTTCCACGGATGCATTTATACGAATACCTCTGCCTTTTTGTTTCGTCCAGTGGGCCAATGTTATCTATGCGAGCTAAATCTCTTTCTATTCCTTTTATAGCTTATGCAAAATACCGTGGCCCTCTCGGAAATGTCAGGAAGGGCGTCCTGGTATGATTTCTTCCATATCTGGCTAATTTGGCACCTTATTTATTTAGCTAAGTTAGCCTGGATGAGCCAAAAATCTGGCTCTCTAGCTGAAATCGGCCCAGATTTGGACATCTCGAACGCTTATTTCTAGTATGTTTACATCCGATGCAAAACCCACACAAAAAAGACCACTTTTTTTTTCCTCGGTCACCTTGAAATAATTCGCATCATCCTCTTAGATCAGATTTTTTTTCTGGCTGGCAGACGGCTCCTTTCCCGTTTGAATAGTTGAAACCTCGCAGGAGAAGCCTGCAAAACCCATTCTTGTTCTCGCTTTATTTGCTTAATTTTTTTGCTAGTGCAGGTCTCCGTGGGGAATGGGACGATCACCTCGCATGCCCTGATGAGCCTCGAAGCTCGCGGAACCCTCTTCGTGTCCCCTGGAATGGAGGTCCTCCCTTCTCCCTCGACTGTGGCTGCTCTCTGTTCCTTCCTCCTATCTCCACGCTCGAGCGACTCACTCGACTTCTTCTTCTTCTCGGAAGACCTACGAGGGCATGATCGTCGGCGAGCACTCCAGAGACTCCGATCTCGACGTGAGGAACCCTCTATCTCTCTCTCTCTCTCTCTCTCCATATCTGTCTTCACGACCTCTGCTGTGGTTTATCTGCTTAGATAAATCCCGTGCGGATGAAGGAGCTGACGAACGTGCGGGCCGCGTCGAAGGATGAGAACGTCCGGCTGTCCCCTCCCCGCCTGGTACGCCTCCTCTGCGCTCTCACACGTCTCTCTCTCTCTCTCTCTCGCACTCACCTTCTCGCCCGCGCGGCTCTGCAGATGACGCTGGAGGAGGCGATCGGCTACGTCGCCGCCGACGAACTCATCGAGGCAAGTGGCGCCGCCGAACTCGGATCCGCCGAAACCTGTTCTTTCCAACGCTGAAAGAGTTGCTTCTCCTCTCTGCAGGTTACCCCGAAGGTGATACGGCTGAGGAAGCGCCACCTCGACGCCAACAAGCGGAAGGCGGCGAGGAACAAGCCCAAGGATTGAAGAAGCAGGTGGCCACCTTCCTTCGTTCGTGGCCAACCTGCTCTGCCGGAAGGCCAATTCCCTTTCTGGGTTCGCCATTTCCGTCTGTTTCAGAGCTCGTAGAAAGTGGGAAGGAGAAGGGGATGGGGCGGGTTTTCCACCTACCTCATTACGTTGGGATTGATGGTCGCCGGCCGCCCTTCTGCCCGTCTCGGAGACCGGCGGCATGGCCGGAACTGATCTTGGTTGGAAATAGCAGCCGTACTTCCCCCATTGAAATTGTTCTTAATGTCGAAGATCCGAGTCTTATGTCATATCTTTGACTTCTGTCTCCGCTACATAGTTTTCAGGGACAAGGTGCAGGTGCAGGTGCTTATATATTCATCAGGAGAGAGAGAGAGCGAGAGAGAGAGAGAGAGAGAGAGAGAGAGAGCCCGTCGGTGCCATTATCGTCTTCCGCACTCGAGGGCGGAGTTTATACCACCACGATGACGAGCCCTGTGCCAGGCATGTTTGTCGGGACGGGGCCATTCGGTTTGCCCAGGAAGCACAGACCCCTTCGCTTCCATGTCGGGATCTCACCGACACTGCGTCTGTAATTCCTCTCTCTCCCTCTCTCTCTCTCTCTCTCTATCTCTATTCCTCTCTCTCTCGCTTTCTCTCTCTGTGTCTCTCTCTGTGATCGTCTGGTTTCCATGATGCTGCGTTCTAATCGATCAACTTCGGGGTCATGTTGAATGATTCTCGCAGCAGAATCAGAAATTTCTACATTCGCGTCAGCTCTGCTGAAAAATATGACCATCTAATCAAAATAAAGTTGCAATAATTTGAGATATTTTCAAATATCTCCATCTTTTATTGATAGATGGTTACGTCACTCGGGTCATGACATTGCCCGTCGGCAACGTTTAATCAGATAATTTAATAAGAACTTCACATTAAATTATTACGAAACAATTATCATTCCATCACCTTATTTCCGACCTAAACATAAATATGGTTGTAGGATTGGACCCCTCCCTTTATTTTTTTTCAGCAAATATGGGTCGTGGGCTTCTTTCCTCGCATGTATGGAGCTAAAAATTGCGAGCGGTCATGTTGATAATCAATCGGGTAGGGAAAAGCTTGGTCTTTTATTTCCGAATATGAGTCTATAAATCATGCCCTGTAATTTTTTTAAAGAAAAACGGCCCGACTCCACCCATATGAGAGTAAGTCTGTATTGAGATTCCAAAAGCCCACTTCAATAAGTGAGGTATGAATGTTCCAAATAACCCACCCGTATGTCAATTTCTCTCTCTCTCTCTCTCTCTACCCTCTTCTTCTCTCTGGTTGGTGAGACTGGAAGCCTGAGCCGGGCTAAAATTGGGTAGGAGCCTGGACCAGCCCGGCCCGGGGCGCTGGGGTGTGATTAGTGCAATAATAACCGGATGATGAAGCGAATAGGCCTGCTTTTTGGGGTCGGGAGGGCCGTTAAAGTGAGATCCCTCGAGTCAATCCAAGCTCACGTCAGCAAGGTCCGAAGTGGCCAAAACCCGCCATTATTGCCCACCACCGTTTCCCGATCGAGAACCCCTTCCTCACCCCCGACTTCTTCTTGACCTTGAAAACCCTAGCCCTCCATTTACTCCTTCAACAACCTCACCCATTAGAATAATCCCTTCTTTATGGCTCCCATCCCCTCCTCCCTCTCATTCAATGCTCCTTCCCCTTCCTGCGGCCCACGCAAACCCCCTGCCGAACCGGGAGCTCCCCGTGGGGCTCTGGCTCACAGAGACGAGCGAGAGAGAGAGAGAGAGAGAGAGAGAGAGAGAGACTGTAGGGCTCGTGCAACTTCTAGAGCCGAGGGGAGCTCCAATAAAGGCTTCCCCGAGGCCGGTGGTTCTCCCTTGAGGGAATTCTGCTGTACTTCGACCAGCTGCCAAGATGACAACTCGAGTTTTAATACGAAGCTTAAGGAGGGTACGACTGTTGCGACCTCACCTGGCTCTCCCTCTTCCGTCTCCTCTCTCTGGCGTCACGTGTGTCGTTTTCTCTTAGATATCTGTTGTATTATAAGTCTAGGGCCCTCTGTCTTCCCAAGAGGGGGGAGAGAGAGAGAGGGAGAGAGAAGGGGGAGAGAAAGAGAGAGAGAGAGAAACTTCTCTCTTCTGGTTTCCTGCCCAGGTGGTTATAAACACCCCCCTGGTAGTCCTCTCTTGTTCCTCCCATCCTCATCACCATCATCATCATGGCCTCGGCTAACAGGCACTGGCCCAGCTTGTTCAAGTCCAAGCCCTGCAGCGGTCGCCACCAGGGACACCATGACATCAATTCCTCATCCCTACTGCCCGCAGCATGCCAGAGGTCTCCCTTCTTAACAGGTAATTCATCACCAGTTGGCTATGTCCTCTCTTTGTTCTCGCCATCCGTGGCTCCTTGGAGTAATCTAGGCCTTGTGGGAGCTTCGGCGGAGCATCGATGAACCGGAAGACGTAAGTTTGGATCTCCCGCGTTTTGAATTATCCAGATCCGTGGAGCTCACTTTAAGAGCTTTGTGTCCGTTTTACGGACATTTACTTTGATGGTTAGCGAGAGAGAAGGAAACTGGGTTATTCAAGGATGATCAAGGCCATACTACAAACCCTAGCCCCCCCAGAAAACCATCCAAGTTCTTCCCATCTCCTGACCGAGAAGACCTTCAGCGTCCTTCTGAATATCAATCATGGGTTTTAGGGTTTTGTAACAGCTGAACGGGCCTCGTTCTCTGGGGTATGATGGCGAGTGAGAAAGAAGCGGGGAAGAACGAGGCAAGAAAACCCAGTTATTCCAGGACAATCGCGGATGTAGCGCAGACCCTCACCCCCTAGACAACCTTTTTAGGTCATGTGATTCTTCCGATCAAGAAGATCTGCGATATCCTCTCGAATGGAAAAGCACGGGTTCTAGGGTTTTGCAGCGGCTGAGCAGGCTTTCTCTGTAGGTTGTGAGGAGAGAAGCCCGGACCCGAAGCCCAGATGGAATCCGAAGCCGGAACAGATCCGGATCCTCGAGGCCATCTTCAACTCCGGCATGGTCAATCCCCCTCGCGACGAGATTAGAAGGATCAGAACCCAGCTCCAAGAGTACGGGCAGGTGGGCGACGCCAACGTCTTCTACTGGTTCCAGAATCGCAAGTCAAGAAGTAAGCAGAAGCAGCGCCACCTTCACGCCGCTAGGCCGCCGCCGCCCCGGGCCTCCCCCATCGTCAACCCTCCTCCGGTGGCGCCCGTCGCTACCTCTTCTTCTTCGTCTTCCTCGGACAAGTCCACTGGCTCGGAGAAGACCCCTCCGCCGCCGAAGGTGATCACTAGTCTGGTCGCCGCCTCCAACCAGGGCTTCCCCCATGGCGAGCTGGCCGCAGAGCCCTTCTTCTCCTCGATGGTCGATTTCCCGGGGCTCTGCAGCGAGCTCCTTGCCGAGCTGACGAACCAAGAAGGGCTCAAGGCAGCGCATCACGGTGCAACCACTGGTGATTCTACTGTAACAACGACCACTGTTGCTACTACCACTGCTGCTGATGCTGCTGCTATCCACAGTAGTTCAACTGTTGGAGGTCATATCAATGACATTATCCAAGGTATGAACCATCAGTAGTCTCCTCTCCCTCATTTATTGCCATGTTCCAGGGTATACCCTACCATTCGTGAGCTTCATCAATGGTATCACATCATCAGCATGGCTGATGCGATAGATTTCGCTGGCAAATGCTGGTAATATGAGCAGTGGGGAGCCGGCGGAGCTTCTCCTAGAAGGTAGAGGAGGAGAGGGGGAGAGCTGGGGAGTTGAAGAGACTGTGGGCCTTTTCGACATGGCGGCTTGCCCTGGATAGGACGTCTGTCTGCATGGCAGCGAAAGACTCCCAACGAGGAGCACGTAATCTCATCTGAATCATTGATTTGACTGCCTCTTTCTTCTCTCTCTCTCTCTCTCTCTCTTTCTCTCTCTACGTTATTTCCTTCCTTGCTCTTTGTTTGATTCTTTGCTGTTTGGATCGTACAGGTGCATGCGGTGCGGCGAGATTGACGGTGTTCATAAATGATGTGGCATTCGAGGTGGGGGCTGGGCTTCTCAACGTGACGGCGGCGTTCGGGGAGGGGGCAATCCTTCTTCACTCGTCCGGCCATCCAGTTCGCGTCGACGAGAGGGGACTCACCCTCCTCCCTCTTCAGCACGGCGCTTCTTACTATTTGGTCTCTCTCTCTCTCTAACTACACGCACGCATAGTCTGACACATGAACAAAACCCTCTTTACCAATTTAACACAACTGCGTGTGTGTGTGTGTCTCTCTCGAACGCGCATGCATGGCTCTAGATGGTTTTGATGGACATGGATGATAGTTCACATGCTAGTTTCTCATTCTACAACTAAAGCATCACTAGCACGTTCTACGCCACCACAGGCAAAGGTACATGTTTGTATGGGGGTTGCGGGGTGGGGAGAGAGCGGTGGAGAGAGAGGGGGAGGGGAGAGAGAGAGAGAGAGAGAGAGAGAGAGAGATGAGCGTCCATTTAGCATTCTCCAGTATCACCGAGGGTTTTCCGCTCTGGATCCTCCACATCTTGTTTTGAAAATCTCTCACACATCCATCTATTTTACGCAGATTTAGACGACTGGTGGTGGTTATGATGAGGAGACGCCATCGGACTTGCCGTGTCCTCTCACTGCTCGTGACGGAGAAAGCTTCCTAATTAACCTATCAACCATCTGAGAGACTCTAGTCTGGGTGATTTACACCTCTTGTTATATAAGTTATGGGACAGCCATATCTGGTCTCTCAGAGCTTTATTTGAGCTAATATGTTGTACAACTGGTAAGTCAAAACCTCTATGCCCAACTGAGGGATGCTTCTGGCCTCTTTATTCACGGATCCCTGTTCTCCGGCGTCAAATCCTTGATTTCTGATCGCTTATTATGCGGAGTTTTGGTTGAACCACTGCCTCAGTTGATCAGAGTTTGGGATAAGCCTGGGTACACACTGTAGGGGGACGATTCATTTCCCAATGAGGGTCTGTTGAAGGTTTTGGATCGGGATGGACGCATGATCTTGGATCCGTAAGGTAAGAATAGCCACACATTAGAGGAAAGAAATCGAAATATTGTGGTTTTGCCAGTCATAAAGAAACAGAAGCAGAGAGCTTAACAAGCTTAAGGATGAATTTGTATTGGTTCCTCCTATTCAGCATCCCTCTTGCACCATGGCGGACCATCTATCCTCCTCATTCAGTGACGTCGACCCAGTATACCTGATCAAGGACCTTGATAGGGGCATGATCAGCTCCATCGAGCTTTCTGAAGCAATCAATGGATCCTACAGCTGATGGTGAATACACACAGAGTGAATGGGACTGTCCTCAACGGTACCGCATCCCTCTGCTGTCTTGTTGAGCCGCCCTTCCGCCGCCCGGGTCCTGGCGGCGGCAGCACCTCCGACCGGCCAGTCAGCGGCGCTGACAGCATCTCCGTATTACCCGCCGCGCTGGCTGCTGCCACTCCTAACGGCAAATGCCGCCTAAGATTACACTTCTCGTGCTCTCGTCGTGCATCATAGATTGTCTAATTACGGCACACAACGTAGACTCAGTGTGGATTCTGATCTGTCTGTCGGTAGGTCGTCTCTATCACGCAACGATCACAGTACGTGTTCCGATAACCCTAATTTCAGACTCGGGGGGCTCCTTCTCGCTGTAAATGCTCCAGCAGTGGGCATCTTCGTTTCTTGTAGGTTTAACCAAGCACACAGATGTCACTCGTTCGTAAACTCAGGCATGGCGCGCCGACCGTCCCGGCCACCGTCTCCGCAGTCGCCGAACAGGAACCTGGACCTGCCGCTCGCCGGCCTCCTCTCACTCCTTCTCGCCAGCCTGAGGATCTTCCCCTATCATCGGCATCTAAGCGGCGGCACCCGCGTGCGCAGGACTGAGAGGGGACGATGATCTTCTTTAAGTACAGTTTCTGCTGCTTAAATTATAATTTTATGGATGCTTGTACTGATATCTTTATTCAATTATTTACTCACGATTTGTTACCGTACTTGCTCATCACATCTAATATGCTCCGCCCATTTCAGCTTGCACTCCATTTGATATCGTAATAATACTCTGGGGATTTTTTTGGGTAACAAGATAGATATATTTAATAATATGAAAAAAAACTTTTTAATTACATCATTGCCGACGTATGACTTAAAATTTCTTCACAATTTTTTTGCAGAATAATGTCGATTACGTAAATGAAAAGATCTTACAACGCTGACAAATGATTTGAATAATTTAATTACATCATCAATCATGAAAAGAATGGCATTTGTCTGCATAACCAAATCTACTCTAAAACATTGTTAATTTGATCGAGTTGACTTTGCTACTTGCACCACTGCATACCTCATTTTATATTTGGAACTTTATCACCCTCCAATAACCTTACGTATGAGTGTCATTCGAAGCATAAATCACACCGTTTCGTCATAAATTTAATTGAAAACATTTTGAGCAGAAAAATCACAATAATCCTACGCATTTCTAAAATATTGCCCCAAACATAAAGTTTTTGTAAGCAATTTGTCAATGATATTTCCCATTCAATTTTTCTACACATGCACGATAATGTAAAATACGAATGACACAATGCCAAGATGTAAAATAGGGGTAGGTACGGGGTTAGTAGCTTAGGCTTGGCTTCTGTTTATGAGGTTGGTATAAAAGATGTAGAGAGAACTTGTGCAACTTGATCTATAGGCAGAGAAGAACGACAAGTGGCAAGACTTATTCTGTTGATAGTACTAACGTATGTCAAGGTGGGCTGAGAAGCCAAGGTGTGGGTTTGACTACTTCTATTGCTTAGACGTTGAGCTAGTGGTAGGAGTTGCTCTATGGCGGGCTCCATGAACAGGTCTGATTCTAGGTGGGATAGATTTGTGGGGGTTGACGAGGTAAGAGGGAGAGGGGAGGACACCATTGACCTGGTACTTTTGGTAGGCAGGAATGACGCTACAGTGATGTTAGCAGCCAAGGGTTGAGTTCAACAATTGGTAGGTGGGTTAGGAGATGTATGTCACTGAGTGAATAGCACGGTGGGCTCAGAAGCCCAGGTGAGGTTTTGACAACTTATATTGCTTAGCGGTTGAGCTAGTAGTAAGAGTTGCTCTATGGTGGGTTCCATGAACAGGGTCTGATTCTAAGTGGGATAGATTGATGGGGGTTGACGAGGTAAGAGGGAGAGGGGAGGACACCATGGACCAGGCACTTTGGTAGACATGAATGACACTACAATGATGATAGCCGCCAAGGGTTGAGTTCAACGATTGGTGGGCTAGGAAGTGTATGGCATTGGGTGCATGTCCTCTTCCATCATGAGAGAAATAGAGGGGGGGGGATGAGATGGAGGCATGGGTATGGGCACAATAGGTGGGCAATAATGGGTGACACAATTATGAGTGAGAGGGAGAGAGAGAGAGAGAGAGAGAGAGAGAGAGAGAGAGAGAGAGAGAGGGAGAGAGAGAGGGAGAGAGAGAGGAGATTAGGGTTCTTAAATAATGGAATCTTGAAGATGAAGTGTGACAGTAGCTATTTCTCAAAGAGAAATAAAGCATTTTCTAAATATATTTAAATTTCATAAATTTGTAAGGGGTGATAGTTTCTTAAGACGTAGAGCAAAAGAAAAAAAACTCAAGTAAATAATGGGAAAATAAAAATGAGCCAGAGCAGCAATCTTCTATGGATTTTAGGCGCGGCAAGGCAGATGGAGAGAGTAAAAAATATATAGATAATACTGCTGAGGGGTTTTTTAGTAACTTTAGGATTCCGTAGAACTTATTATCGTCTCCTTTCTCACTTGGCAAGTAGCGCAAAGAAAGACTGTGGCTAGTTTCACATAAAATATTTAAAGCAGGGACCAAACGCAAATTATCCACAGTTTAACATCTCTCTCTCTCTCTCTCTCTATCTCTCTCTAAAGCCTGCCGTCGAGAGGAGGGAAGAGGGGAGAAAAACTTTGGGTCTGGTGATCTGCGACTATTACGCTGTAGGAGGAGGAACAGGAGGACGAGGAAGAGGAAGAACAGGAACAGGAGCAAATGGCCTACAGGGCGGACGATGACTACGACTACCTGTTCAAGGTGGTACTGATCGGTGACTCGGGCGTCGGCAAGTCGAATCTCTTGTCGCGTTTTACACGCAACGAATTCAGCCTCGAATCCAAGTCCACCATCGGCGTCGAGTTCGCTACCCGCAGTATCCGCGTCGGCGACAAGGTCATTAAAGCTCAGATTTGGGACACTGCTGGCCAGGAGAGGTGCGTCTTCCGCGTTTGATCTCTTTTGTCGGATTATATTCTTATTCTCGCGATCCTTTGTACCTTGATCTCCGTTGATCCGGAACTTCTATTGATTATTTTCCTTCTTGAATTGAGGATTTGGGGTGGTTACGATTACGGTTTGAGTGGGTTGAGCGAATGTCGTTCAGCTCTTATGGTGGTCGGGTATTGGGGTCGTTGCTGTTTATCACCATCGGGAACCCTAGATTTGGAATTCTCGAGATTTTTTTTTGAATATATCTATGCAGGCGTCCAATTTTACAGATTCATTTTTAGAAAAATCTTTCCTACTTCCTTGTTTTGCTACTGAGAGACATGACATTCCTCGTTCGCGACACTCTGATAACTTCGTCTTTAATCTTCTTAAATAATTTTCCGCGGTTTGGCATGTTATCCTTGGATCTTGAGTTGGCGGTAAGGCGATACAACCTGCTCTCGTGTCTTATGTAATGGTCTGATTACTGGATCCATTTTAATGCAAGGTAGAGTAATTCGGACTAAATTTTCTTTCATGAACTTTTTATTTCATTCTGATATGATTTCACACCGAGATGCATCCAATATTCGGTTTGCTTTTGGAGCAAGCGAGTGCTGTTCAACTCGATCATATATTCTTAGAACACCATATCTATCAATTAAGAAGCTTTTCCTACATCGTACTCATTAATCTCGAGTTAAAACTTTTGAAGGTTACCTTATTGTACTTTGTTAGCTTTTCGTTTTCTGATCATCATTGAAGGATAATCAATTCCAATTAGCAGATTTCGTTGCACTGTGTATTTGATTAACTTCTATATGGATAATCTGTGATTTTCCTCTAGCGTGCTGGATTTTTGGGCGTTAACTCTTACAAAAAAAAGCCAACTTCATTTCCATTATTATCTAAATTATCTTTACCTCTCTCTTTGGTGGTGCAAAAAGGCTGAACTTTCTGCTTGTGTCTGCGTGATTGATTCTAATTCATTCGTTTGAAGTACGAAGCTTTAAACTCTAAAAAAAATAGTGAATAAATGATACTGCAAGCAGTGCTTTATGATCCTGGTTACTCCTAACAATTTACAGCATGTTATTGGTTGACAAAACCGCGAGTTTCTTCCATATGAATTGGTAGACAAACCTTGCATCAGAAATGTTTCCTTTTGTACTTAAGTGATGTATTATTACTTGGCTACTCATTGAAATTCATGCAATCACTATAGTAGGCAAAATTGGCTGAGAAAATCTGGTGTTACACCTAACATAAATATCCAAGACAAAGGTTGATGTAAGTTTCACGTGATATGCGTGTACCCTTGAGATTGCTACACCCGTGTCCTCAGCTGAACGGCTACGTTGGTAGCGATTGGGAGGTCTCCTTGCATAGTTCTGATGTGAGCTTTAAAAAATTCTGAGGACCACTCGTCCACCCTTCAAGAACTGCCTTCCAGGCATGTCCCTGATATGAATGGTGCGGCGAAGTGGTACAGATTGGGGATTTCTCGTGCATACTTCTGATATAACCTTATAAAGTAAAAGAAAATCTCAGGGCCATACACTTTCTAATCTCTTCTTTGAGTATTCAGTAAACGTTCCCCGAGTGCTTTTAGTTTAATTTACCTTACTTTTCTGTATACATAGCCACATATAATGAAGCAGCTTTGAGATGATGAGGTAGCAAACGCTCACCAGTTGGACCAATCCTGCAGTCCATGCGCAGTTTTATCTACGAACATCGGTTGGTATCCACGGCCGGTTTGTTGTCCCTCATCCTGCTGATTGAACTTAGTAAATGTCTTGATTCTTTCGTCATGTTTTCTGATGATTATGGGTTCGATTTTGACCTAGAAAAGAAAACTTTAATGATCCATTTCATAGTGTAAGAAGCACCCGTTAAATCTGGGTCGGATGGGATCTTCGGAATCATCTAAAAATATCCTTATTTCTTTTGATATTTTGCGATAATAGGCTTCTTGCAGATGCATGTATCTTCGCTCAAATCTTTGTGAATAACAAGTGAATTTCACCCTATCTAATTCCTTGTTCTTGTAGATATCGCGCCATCACGAGCGCCTACTACCGGGGAGCTGTGGGTGCCCTGCTCGTCTACGACGTGACCCGGCACGCCACATTCGAGAGCGTGGGGCGGTGGCTGAAGGAGCTCAGGGACCACACCGACGCCAACATCGTGATCATGCTCGTCGGCAACAAGGCGGACCTGCGGCACCTGAGGGCGGTGCCGGTGGAGGACTCGCAGGCCTTCGCCGAGAGGGAGGGCACCTTCTTCATGGAGACCTCCGCCCTGGAGTCGATGAACGTGGAGAAGGCGTTCACGGAGGTGCTCACCCAGATCTACCGCGTGGTCAGCAAGAAGGCCCTCGAGATCGGAGATGACCCCTCGGCGGTGCCCAAGGGCCAGACCATCAATGTCAGCTCCAAGGACGACGTCTCCGACCTGAAGAAGAACAGCTGCTGCTCCTCGTCTTGAGGTACCTGTTACTGCCTCTCTCTCTCTCTCTCTTTCTCTCTCTCTTTCTGTGGGTGGGGGATATATACAGCTGGGAATAACATGGGGGAGAGTAGGCAGAGAAATCCAGACCGCTTGTGTTCATCAATGAATTTTGTAATATCATCTACATGTAATTAGATGCGTTGAAATTTATTAATCTTTGCGTGGGTCTCCCCGTAGAGTTTAGTCTTCTCATTGTTTTCCTACCGAACCGTTGGTTTATGGCTGGGTCCAGTTCTTATAATCACCTCGCCTCCTCCCTTGCCCATGAAGATCCTCTGAGAGATAGAGAGAGATGCGGTTCACGGACTCGCCCGCGGTGGAGCTCTCGGTGGGCGGCGCCGCCCTGTCAATCCAGCAGGACAACGGCTCCCTCCACGTCGGGACCTCCGTCTGGCCCTGCTCCCTCGTCCTCGTCAAGTTCATCGAACGCTGGTTCCTCCACCGCCGCCATCTCCCTCCTTCCTCCACCACTCCCTACGCTGATCTCCTCCACTTCGAGGGCAAACGCGCCGTCGAGCTCGGCGCCGGCTGCGGCGCCGCCGGCATGGGCCTCCATCTCCTCGGCCTCGACGTCGTCCTCACAGACATCGCCCCGGTCATGCCGGCCCTGCGCCGGAACCTCAAGCGGAACCGCGCCGCCCTCGGCAGACCGCCGCGCCACGCCATTGTATACTGGAACAACGCCGCGCAGATCAGCGCCCTCCGCCCGCCCTTTGACTTCGTAGTTGCGGCCGATGTCGTCTATATCGAGGACTCCGTCGCACCGCTCGTCGCTGCCATGGAGGCCCTCGTGAGCCCCCGCGGCGCCGTTCTACTGGGCTACCAAGTACGCTCTCCCGAGGCCCACCGCCTCTTCTGGGAGATCTGCGGGCGTTCCTTCTCCGTGCAGAAGGTGGCCCACGAGGACCTCCACCCGGACTACGCCTACGAGGAGGCGGATGTCTACGTACTCAGGAAGAAATGAGATGCCCGCAAGATGTTCGTCGAAAGGCCTCGTTCATTATTCCCCTTGTCTGTTCCTCTTGACTTTGAAAGACTTTTCCCACTAATAATATTTTTATGCGAAATTCTATTTACTTTATTCTGGTCATAAAACCGTCCAGCAGAAAAAAAATCTGCCATGACCGTTCTCACTCACAGATATCTCCTAGCCCATGGGTCCTGCTTTGTGTCTTTTTTTTCTTGGACAGATAATCAAGATGAGCCCATTCACTCGTTTTTTTGGAAATAAGAAAATAGATGATTCCATAACATTTGCTTTTTAAATTTAATATAGATTTTTCCAAAACCACGCCTAACATCTATATGTAGGATATTTTTAATTTTAGGAAAGTTCAAAGATCCTATGCTTATTGCTCTAACATCTGTATATATGTTTTAAAATTGTAAGGAAATCATTTCATCAATTGGGTTTCGTTTATGGAATATTTTTACATAAAATATGCCCAAAGAATTCCGTACATTGATTGTTTTATTTTCTATTCCTTTTTTAGATTATTTGAATGAAGTGGGTTGAAACGAAACAAGCATGCATAGCTACCATTAGTTATGTCTGTCTGTGTGTCTATCTGTCCCGAGGCACACCGCCTCTTCTGGGAGCTGTGCGGGTGATCCTTCTCCGTGCAGAAGGTTGCTCATGAGGACCTCACCCGGACTACGCCTACGAGGAGGCGGATGTCTACGTACTCAGGAAGAAATGAGATGCCCGCAAGATGTTCGTCGAAAGGCCTCGTTCATTATTCCCCTTGTCTGTTCCTCTTGACTTTGAAAGACTTTTCCCACTAATAATATTTTTATGCGAAATTCTATTTACTTTATTCTGGTCATAAAACCGTCCAGCAGAAAAAAAATCTGCCATGACCGTTCTCACTCACAGATATCTCCTAGCCCATGGGTCCTGCTTTGTGTCTTTTTTTTCTTGGACAGATAATCAAGATGAGCCCATTCACTCGTTTTTTTGGAAATAAGAAAATAGATGATTCCATAACATTTGCTTTTTAAATTTAATATAGATTTTTCCAAAACCACGCCTAACATCTATATGTAGGATATTTTTAATTTTAGGAAAGTTCAAAGATCCTATGCTTATTGCTCTAACATCTGTATATATGTTTTAAAATTGTAAGGAAATCATTTCATCAATTGGGTTTCGTTTATGGAATATTTTTACATAAAATATGCCCAAAGAATTCCGTACATTGATTGTTTTATTTTCTATTCCTTTTTTAGATTATTTGAATGAAGTGGGTTGAAACGAAACAAGCATGCATAGCTACCATTAGTTATGTCTGTCTGTGTGTCTATCTGTCCCGAGGCACACCGCCTCTTCTGGGAGCTGTGCGGGTGATCCTTCTCCGTGCAGAAGGTTGCTCATGAGGACCTCACCCGGACTACGCCTACGAGGAGGCGGATGTCTACGTACTCAGGAAGAAATGAGGCGCTCGCAAGATGTTCGTCGAAATGCCTCGTGATTTATTTCTCTTCTCTGTTCCTCTTGACTTTGAAAGACCTTTTCCATGAATAATATTTTTACGCGAAAGTTTCTTTACCTTATCCTCGGCATAAAACAGTCCCCCCAGAAAAAAATCAACCATGGCCATTCATATCCACTCATCTCCTAACGGTGCTCATAAACCCTACCTTATCATCGAGATGAGCCCATTCACTCGGCTTTTTGGAAATAAGAAAATAGTTGCTTCTCTAAAATTTTGCTTTTTTGGAAAAAATATGTAATATAGATTTTGCCTAAAACATAACTAACAATTATAGTTCTTATAAAATTTGGAATATAGGATCTTTTTAATTATAGGAAAGCTGAAAGATCCTATGTTTATTGCTCTACCAAATATACACATATGTTCTAAAATGGTAAAGCTAATTAGTTCTATCTACTGGGTTTTATTTCTTGAATATTTTACGTAAGTTATGCCCACAAATTTTCCAAAAATTAATTGTTCTCATTTTCTATTGGGTTTTATATTATTTGAATGAAGTGGGTTGAAACCGAAGTAGTTGCAGACTTCGCTGCGATAGTGAGATATGATGATGAGCGAACGCGGATCTGCCATGCAAACAAGAAATAAGAATAGTAAACATAAATCGATGGTAGACAGAGGGACGGAGAGGAGAACGCAGATACAGGAAGCGAGAGAAGATGGAGATCTAGAGAGAGAGACATAGAGACGCAAAGACAGAGAGACAGAGAGACAGAAAGACACAGACACACAGGCGCTACATCGTCCTGTCACTGGAGCTAGCCCAGGAAGACAACCCAGCCTCCAGGAGCACTTCCCAGGCGACTCTACTCCCCCTGCAGCTTCCGGACACCGGCGCACCCGGCGTCCCGGGCGTCGCCGCAGTCGGCCCTCCTGCCTACGGCCGCAGGTTCGGTGGGATCAGAACCCTGTCGATACTGAAGAGGGAGACGGTGTGCAGGTGGCCGATGCTTTGTATCGGGATGGTGTCCACTCCGGCGGACACGTTGACCTGGTTGGTTGTGTGGGTGAATCTCAGGGTATAATTTCTCGCTAGCGTTTGGATCGGGTTGATGGCGGTGTAGAGCATATCCTTATTGTAGTACTTGGCTACTACGTGGAGCAGCAGCAGCTGGCTCTTGTCATCCGGCGAGAGCGACTCGAAGTAACCAGGAGGGAGGTTCTTGAAGGCGTACTCTGTGGGGGCGAAGATGGTGAGCCCGTACTTCAACTGATGCTCGAGGGCGTCGGCGATTTTTCCATCGTCCAGAAACTGGAAGAACGTGACGTACTTGTCGACGTGCACCCAGTGGGGGAATGGGAGCCGGAGGCGGAATGGGAGCCGGAGGTGGAATGGAACAGCCAGCAGAACTGGGAGAGACAGCAGCACCAGCGCGCACAGCAGAGGAGCCCGCGGCGACATGGCGGCGGCGCCGGTGGGGTGTGGGAAGCTGCGAGGGGGGGAGAGGACTGTTGTCGGAGAGGGAGTGATAGGGCCGTCAGTGAGCTCTCCCACCGCTCTCCCACCGTCTATATATAGTGTATAAGCCATTTAAATAATGTTGGAAAATCACGATGAACGCGTATTCTAGTCGCCTCGATCACATTCCGCGCGTAAAAGAGCCGTTATATGGGATCAGTACTTGCGATCAACGTGGACGTTGACGGCCTTCTTATCGGGAGAGTGGATAAAGTCTAACGTCTGAAAGGGGCCAATAGGCCAGTTTTTCACGGCCCTGGACCCTGTACAGTTCTATGGACTAAGGCCCGGCCCACACCTGCCCCGTCCTGGTCCCCATACCCCCCCCAATTCTAGCCCCTGGTTAATAAGGTTTTTATGACGTCATGGTGTCATAATAAAATCTATTTCAAAATTTTCAAATAAAATAGTTCTATTCTGGGATAATAATGGGCCTGAAGGAGGCTCCTCTCAGGCTGTCTTGGGCTTGGGCTGGCAAATGACGACTCTCAACATTTTTTCCGAGTCCAGCCCAAAATACTTGGGGGGGCGAGGGGCGGGGTTTCCCTCCTCTCTCTCTCTCTCTCTCTCCTCCCCATCTTTCTCTCGATCTCCTCCCTCGTCGGCAGTTGGGGTCGGAGACTGTGGCAAGGAACGGCAATGGCTTCTTCGTCGGCTCCTCCCTCGGCTGCGGGATCGGCGAGAATGGAGAGGTGATTGCAACTCCTCGTATTGTTCTCTGTTTAGACGTTTCTCATAACGAGCGCTGATTGTTTTAATTCTTTTGGCATCGACGTTTCACAAAGCAGGTCCATTACCGCATAGAGCAATAGCACGGCATGTGAGAAACTTTCTGCAGCCCAAGTAAGAACAAATTTCTTTTACCTACTCCTTAGTTGAACCAGACTTCACCACTCAGGAGCTTCCGTACCCTGGCGCATGTGGCTTTAAACCATGATTTAAGAGCTGTTTTTAGCTAATAAAAACTCGAGTTTTTCGTCTCTGTGGGCAGCGCTTCCCCAGGTCAACTCTCAAAGGTAAAAATCCTCTGTTTTCTGGTTTTTAGCAGGTTTTATCCATCTGTCTTTCTCTCAGTTTTTCCATCAGTATTTCCTTCATTTTGTCACTCCAGCAGTGGGTGTTCTCCTTTACTGTCTCTTTGAGGTCTCCTTACCCGTTTTCTTTGTGGTGTCCCTCTATTCCCTTTAATGCTAGAGTGGCAAAATCGGATGATTTACCTGTTTTTCGATCACTTTTCACCGGGGTTGGTGAATCTTTGCATGAGTAACCTTTATAAGAAACTATGTGGCTTTCAAACTCCTTTGTATCCACAATTATACAAATATAGAAAAAAAAATGAAGATTTAGAGTACTTAAAGGACATGAGGACCACCTTGGGTGGAAGAATCATGGATTATCTAATGAGGCATAATTCGCCTAGACGCTTCCGCTCCCTCTCTTTAGCATGAGCCAAGATAAGAGACCACTCTTCTACTTTGAAAGCGCTACTGACAAACGGTTGCTTGGTGCCAAGCAACCGGTTGGCAAAGAATAATAAGCAATAAGCAAAAAGCAACTAAACTTAGATTTGCTTTAGCTACCTCTGTCTGAAATCATTCTTCAGGCTGTAGCCCCCCTATAACATAATGCTCCTCGTTTTTATTCAATTATTAAATGTTTCATTTAATGGAGATTTGTAGCATCATTCAAGTAAATACAGATTGAGATCGTAGAAACATGAGCTTGTGATATAGCTACACCTAATTCCGGACCGGTTAATGCAATAACCATAAATGAAGGACCAGGATCTCCTATGAAATGCAAAAGATTTTTCATACATAGCATAGGCAAGTAAACCCACTTAAAATCTTTACTGAACTATGAATATAGACAAGACGATGATAGTCAGCAGGCTAATAAAGATAATTTGACATTCTCGCTCTTTCCTTTATCCTGGTCTTCTCGGCTGGGCCCCCTTGCTGTCAATAAAACTAGTTTTCTAATTTGAATGATAGGGATTTTCTCGGAGAAGAGAAAATACCGTCTGTGGATTTCAAAGGAAGTTAAGGACGCTCCCCTCCAGAGTAACTCCTCCCCAAGGGACAGTAAGCAGAGTGGAAATTCCCTCCGTAGGGCGAAGGGCTTTCTCTCTCAGGTTCACCTCTTGGGTATGGAGTTAGACATGAAGAATTTTATGAATGGAGTTATGGAGTGATGCTTTGCCGTCTGAGAACACCTCTTATCTTAGTTTTAACAATAATAAAAAGCTGTGGAGTGAGGCTTTGCCGACTGAGAACACCTCTTTCCTTTCTTGTTTTTAAGAAGCCAACAACCAGGTGGTACTGGGCAAGAGAGGGTTGACGAGATGCCGGAACATTCTCAGTTCGAGTGAGATTGGCGCTATAAGTCAAAGAGTCCAAAAACCGACTGACATAAATGTGGAAATTCGGTACTTTTGTGCTTCCTCTTTTTAGTAATTGAGATTTCCAGAGTCTTTTGACCTACTGAAAATCTGATTCGTGATTGTTTCATTTCCTGATGTTAGCAATGTACAGCAGTCAAATAGGATCATTTATTCTCGAGACCTTTGACTATTTTTTCTCATGTGGGAGTTATAATTCATTCCAGTTTATTTAATTTCATCCACGTGTGGGGTGGGACCTTCTTGAATTGACTAGCAGATCATCAACACAGGGGCCCAATTCATTCTACAGTCGAGTTGGGAGCAGGGGTAGCCCGCCTGCGACCCAACCTACACTCCTTTCTCCTATTGTTTTGTTCGTTTGTCACTTCTTGGAAATCACGAAGAGGATTTCCGGACTGAGTGGGAGGGGAAAAGAATTGGTTTAATTTCACTGGAAGCTTCAATATAAATCTTCTGTTCTTTTCCCCACCCAGCAAACAGTGGGTTCAAATTCCCTGCATCCGCTGGGTCGCGGCTCACTGCAGACAGAGGCTAGGCCTGATTCCTTGCCACCGCGTCCTTGTGTGTTGGAGATAAGAAGCGAGTGCAAAGAACGGGAACTGGGTCGTCCATGACGAAGTATCCGAAGCATAACTGCACACTCACACGATCATTGCTGAGAGATTGGAGCATTCGGTGGAACCGGTGAACTACACTTGCTTCGGATTTGAACCTACGACCAGTCAAATTAACAGCCAACCGCTCTACTACTGAGGAACTACGGGTGATTCGATTTTATAAAGTCCATCGACTTTGCCTATTCTGTAATTCTTATAATGGTGGATTTAAATATCGAAGATCTCTATTGAGAGTTTCCGCACATTAATATATTTTTGGTAGTTACGTGGACTTATTTGATTAAATCAGAGATTTATCACTAGAAATCGACATGAGATGCATAGAATCTTAAAATAAAATAAAAAATCCAATATAAATGATACTGAGATGATGATACTTGACTACATGGTCCCTATCTCATTTCCATTCATTTGAATGAATTTTTTTTCTCATCTTCGGAGGAAGTTACTGGGTACTACTTATCTATGGTTTTCTAGTGTTACGGAGGAGGAGAAGGTAAGCATACGACATTAGGGTAGCTCATGACCCGTTGCCTGGTTTTCAATATTTGTTTTGATGCATGTAAGAAATTTGTGCTCAAGATGATGGTGCACGATCATACTGTGTGAGGTTAACACACATCATACTGTGTGAGGTTGTCTCACAATGGATGGAGCGTTGATCTGTTGGAGGTCCTCTTTATCTTGTGAAGAATATGGATGCCATGACATTGAGAATTATAAGATCTTCAGAATAGAGATGTAGACATTAAATGAATATAGTGACGTCCCATACGCGAAAATTTGTTGAAAGTGATATGTGGGAACACAGGAGAGTTTTAAGCCCATAAACCATGGCCATTATTGGTATTGAAGGTAGTAATTAATTCTCAGAGGAAAGTAAGAGAGATATTCCATGCAGAGGCCTCCAACAAGTTAAGTCCTTGCAATTCATCTACTTCGTTTCACGTGACAAACGACTCAAAAATATTCCTTTTAACTTGTGTTGGTGTTGTTTCATTAATTTCTTCTTTTACTTACCTGGCTGTTATTTTCTAAGCTCCCTTTGTCGTTTTTCTTACACGTTTTCCTTTTAGTTTTAGGGTCAACGCGTTCTCAATATAGGTCCTTTTCTGTCATTTTTAAAAGTTTTTTTTTTGAACTTGGGTTAAGTATTCTCATGGGTGATATGGGAATGATGGAATAGCTCAAGGTAACTATCATCTACATGTAATTAGATGCGTTGAAATTTATTAATCTTCACGTGGGTCTCCCCGTAGAGTTTAGTCTTCTCATTGTTTTCCTACCGAACCGTTGGTTCATGGCTGAGCCCAGTTCTTATAATCACCTCGCCTCCTCCCTTGCCCATGAAGATCCTCTGAGAGATAGAGAGAGATGCGGTTCACGGACTCGCCCGCGGTGGAACTCTCGGTGGGCGGCGCCACCCTATCAATCCAGCAGGACAACGGCTCCCTCCACGTCGGGACCTCCGTCTGGCCCTGCTCCCTCGTCCTCGTCAAGTTCATCGAACGCTGGTTCCTCCACTCCCGCCATCTCCCTCCTTCCTCCACCACTCCCTACGCTGATCTCCTCCACTTCGAGGGCAAACGCGCCGTCGAGCTCGGCGCCGGCTGCGGCGCCGCCGGCATGGGCCTCCATCTCCTCGGCCTCGACGTCGTCCTCACAGACATCGCCCCGGTCATGCCGGCCCTGCGCCGGAACCTCAAGCGGAACCGCGCCGCCCTCGGCAGACCGCCGCGCCACGCCATTGTGTACTGGAACAACGCCGCGCAGATCAGCGCCCTCCGCCCGCCCTTTGACTTCGTAGTTGCGGCCGACGTCGTCTATATCGAGGACTCCGTCGCACCGCTCGTCGCTGCCATGGAGGCCCTCGTGAGCCCCCGCGGCGCCGTTCTACTGGGCTACCAGGTACGCTCTCCCGAGGCCCACCGCCTCTTCTGGGAGATCTGCGGGCGTTCCTTCTCCGTGCAGAAGGTGGCCCACGAGGACCTCCACCCGGACTACGCCTACGAGGAGGCGGATGTCTACGTACTGAGGAAGAAATGAGATGCCCGCAAGATGTTCGTCGAAAGGCCTCGTTCATTATTCCCCTTGTCTGTTCCTCTTGACTTTGAAAGACTTTTCCCACTAATAATATTTTTATGCAAAATTCTATTTACTTTATTCTGGTCACAAAACCGTCCAGCAGAAAAAAAATCTGCCACGACCGTTCTCACTCACAGATATCTCCTAGCCCATGGGTCCTGCTTTGTGTCTTTTTTTTCTTGGGCAGGTGATCATGATGAGCCCATTCAATCGTTTTTTTTGGAAATAAGAAATAGTTCCATCAGTTTCTAGAATATTTTACATGAATTATGCCCACAAAATTTCCATAAATTGATTATTTTATTTTCTATTCCTTTTTTAGATTATTTGAATGAAGTGGGTTGAAACGGAACAAGTTGCATGCAAACTTACCTTAGAAGTTTCCTCGGCGTCATTAATTACGTGAAAAGGAAAGATTTGACTTTATAGACGTTGTTCCAACGGTGCGTGCGTGTCGCGGCCCCATCGTCGATACTGTCAAATCGTTAGCTCCGGCGTCTAACGATCGGATCTGCTCTCTCTCTCTCTCTCTGTCGCTGATCTGTGTCTATAGAGCTTTAAAGAAGCATCGCCGTGCATGGCTGGCCGAGGGCCAGCACCACGTGAAGCGGCGCGCCCACCATGTGAATGCTGGCGACGTGGGAAAGCGCCGCCGGTAGCCGAGGCCCTCCACCACCTGTCTTTCGTCCTCTTCTACTCCGATGCTGTGTGATCGTCGTTCGTCGGATACGAACCCAACTCTCTCTCTCTCTCTCTCTCTCTCTCTCTCCCCTCTCATAGTGAGATATGATGATGAGCGAACGCGGATCTCCCATGCAAACACGAAATCAGAATAGTAAACATAAATCAATCGGAGAGAGAGACGGACGGAGAGCAGAACGCAGGTACAGGAAGCGAGGGAAGATGGAGATCTAGAGAGAGAGAGAGAGAGAGAGAGAGAGGAAAAGACTCGTGGAGGCGCTACATCCTCCTCTCACCGGAGCAAGCCCAGGAAGGCAACCCCAGCCCCCAGGAGCACTCCCCAGTCGACCCTCCGCCTCCTGTAGCTCCCCGACACCGGTTGCGGCGTCGGTGCCGTCGGCCCTTCCGCCGGAGTCGACGGCGCCGTCGGCCCTCCCGCCGACGGCGACGGCGCGGGGGCCTTCCCGCCGGCCAGCGCCGGCGGGATCAGAACGGAGTCAATGGAGAAGATGGCGAGCGGGGATTTGACGTAGAGCTCGTTGTTCACCGGGATGTTCACCACTCCGGTGGACACGTTGACCTGGTTGTTGCCGCCGATGAAGTTTAGGGTATAATTGGTGGCCAGCGTGCGGACGGGGTTACTGGCGGTGGAGAGCGTATCCTTGCTGTAGTACTTGCCCACTACGTGGAGCAGCAGCAGCTGCGTCTGTTGATCCGGAGAGAGCAAGTTGAGGGTGCCGGGGGGGAGGTTGTTGAAGGCGTTGTCTGTGGGGGCGAAGATGGTGAGCCCATCACGGTTGTTCTTCAACAGGTTCCCGATTTCCTCGACGAGGTTTCTGGTCGTCAGCAGCTGGAGGAGGGTGCTGTACTGGCGGGCGCCCTGCAAGATGGCCACTGGGTCGGGGCCCGCCGCCGGCGCCGGTGACGCCGCCGGCGTCCCTTGCGCTTCGAGGAGGAAGGGGAGAGCCAGCAGGACCAGCGTGCACAGCAGAGGAGTCGGCGGCGACATGTTGGCGCCACTGGTGGGGTGTGGGAAGCGAGGAGGGGGGGAGAGGGGAGAGGACGGTCGTCAGAAGGGAAGATGGGGCCGTCGGTGAGCCCTCTCACAGTTTATATATAGCGTATATACCATTTAAACAATGTCGGAAAATCACGATTACCGCGTTTTCTTGGCCCTTCGATCACATTCCGCATGGGAAAGAGCCATTGAAGACGTATTTTCTTTGCTGACATTTTGAGACCTTCGCAATCCGAGTCTCGCCGGGTTCTCCAAGGATACACGTTGATACACACCCGATCACACATCCTCTCTCTCTCTCTCTCTCTCTATTTCTATATATATATATATATCTCTTTCTCTCTCCTCTGTGATGTCAAGACGTCACATGTCGGGGACAACCACTATCAAGCAGAACAGATCAACCACTGTCGGGGACAACCTGTCATCACATGGGACTAGTACTGGCGGTCAACGTCTAACGTGGACGGCCTTCCTGCCCAGGAGAGGGGAGAGGAGTATATGGTCAGGAAGAGAGCCCAATAGGCCCGTTATTTACACGGGCCTGGGCCCTGTACAGTTTCAATCGACTAAGGCCCGGCCCACACCGGCCCAGTCTGGGGCCCCAACCCCCCAATTCTAGCCCCTGGTTCATAAGGTTTTTATGACGTCATGGTGTCCTAGGGGAGGTAAGCAGAGAAAACCAGACCGTGTGTTCATCAATGAATTTTGTACTATCATCAATGAATTTATTAATCTTTACGTGGGTCTCCCCGTAGAGTTGTCTTCTGATAGTTTTCCTACCGAACCGTTGGTTCATGGTGGGACCAGTTCTTATAATAATCACCTCGCCCTCCTCCCTTGCCCATGAAGATCCTCGGAGAGAGAGAGAGAGAGAGAGAGATGCGGTTCACGGACTCGCCGGCGGTGGAGCTCTCGGTGGGCGGCGCTGCCCTATCAATCTAGCAGGACAACGGCTCCTTCTACGTTGGGACCTCCGTCTGGCCCTGCTCCCTCGTCCTCGTCAAGTTCATCGAACGCTGGTTCCTCCACCGCCGCCACCTCCCTCCTTCCTCCGCCACGCTGCGGCGCCGCCGAGCTGGTCCCTACGCTGATCTCCTCCACTTCGAGGGCAAACGCGCCGTCGAGTTCGGCGCCGGTTGCGGCGTCGCCGGCATTGGCCTCCATCTCCTCGGCCTCGACGTCGTCCTCACAGACATCGCCCCGGTCATGCCGACCCTGCGCCGGAACCTCAAGCGGAACCGCGCCGCCCCCGGCAGGCTGCCGCGCCTCGCCATTCTCTACTAGAATAGCGCCGCGCAGATCAGCGCCCTCCACCCGCCCTTCGACTTCGTAGTTGCGGCCGACGTCGTCTATATCGAGGACTCCGTCGCGCCGTTCGTCACCGCCATGGAGGCCCTCGTGAGTCCCCGAGTCGCCGAGCTGCTGGGTACCAGGTACGCTGCACCCAGGCCCACCGCCTCTTCTGGGAGTTATGCGGGCGGTCCTTCTTCGTGCAGAAGGCGGTCCACGAGGACGTCCAGCCGGACTACGCCTACGAGGAGGCGGATGTCTGCGTACTCGGGAAGAAATGAGACGCCCGCAAGGGTTCGTCAAAATGCCTCATCCAAAAAATTGTTCCCGTTGTTTGCTCCTCTTGAGTATGAATGATTTTCCATTAATAGTATCTTTATACGAAAGTGTATTTACCTTATTCTCGGCACAAAACCGTGCTCCAGGAGAAAGTCAACGATGACCATTCTCACTCATGGTCCCTTATTTGTTTTTTTTTTTTTTTCGTGGGCATATCATCAAGATGACCCTACCCGTGTTTTTGGAAATAAGAAAAGAGTTGCTCATCTATTTATTTTTTTTATAAAAAAATGTTAGATAGATTTTGCCAACAACATAACTAACAGTTGTAGCGTTTGTAAAAAAATGGAATATAGGACGATTTTTGATGTTAGGAAAGCTCAAAGATCCAATGATTATTGCTCTAACATACATAGATATATGTCTTAAAATGATAAAGATAAATAGTTTCACCTATAGGATTTCATTTCTAGAATATTTTACACAAATCATTCCCTCAAACTTTCCATTAATTCATTGTTTTATTTTCTCTTCGTTTTTAGATTATTTGAATGAAGTGGGTTGAAACGTAACAAGTTGCAAGCATAGCTGTCATTAGTTCTCTCTCTCCCTTCCTCTCTCTCTCTAAGAGACCGTTGACCCTTCTCGATTCCTACCTCATCGACCCACCCCTAGAAGTTTCCTTCGCCGTCATTAATTACGTGTAAAGGAAAGATTGGATTTGCAGACGTTGGATCCAACAGCGCGTGCTTGTCGGATCAGCATCGTTGATATTGTCAAATCGTTGGCTTCAATGGCTAGGATCGGATCGGATTGCTCTCTCTCTATCGCGGACACCCATGTATCTATAGAGCTTAAAACAAGCGTCCGCCGTGCATGGCTAGCCGAGAGCCACGACCACGTGGAGCGGCGTGCTCACCACGTAAATGGTGATGACGCGGAAAAGCGCCGCCGGTAGCCGAGGCCCTCCACCGCCGTCTTTCGTCCTCTTCTACTCCGACGCTGTGTGATCATCGTCCATCGAATACGAACCCAACTCTCTCATGTAAACACGAAATCAGAACAGTAAACATAAATCAATCAGAGAGAGAGACGGACGGAGAGGAGAACGCAGATACAGGAAGCGAGAGAAGATGGAGATATAGAGAAAGAGACAGACAGAGAGACAGAGAGAGGAAAAGACGTCCTCCTCTCACAGGAGCAAGCCCAGGAAGGCAACCCCAGCCCCCAGGGGCACTCTCCAGGCGACCCTCCGCCCCCTGTAGCTCCCCGACACCGGCCGCGGCGCCGGCGCCGTCGGCGGCGCGGGGGCCTTCCCGCCGGCCAGCTCCGGCGGGATCAGAACGGCGTCAATGGAGAAGATGGCGAGCGGGGATTTGACGTAGAGCTCGTTGTTCACCGGGATGTTCACCACTCCGGTGGACACGTTGACCTGGTTGTTGCCGCCGGTGAAGTTTAGGGTATAATTGGTGGCCAGCGTGCGGACGGGGTTACCGGCGGTGGAGAGCTTATCCTTGCTGTAGTACTTGCCCACTACGTGGAGCAGCAGCAGCTGCGTCTGTACTTCCGGAGAGAGCGACTGGAGGATGCCGTTGGGGAGGTTGTTGAAGGCTTTGTCTGTGGGGGCGAAGATTGTGAGCCCGTTCTTCAGCTGGTCCGCGATGGCGTTGACAAGGTTTCTATCCTTCAGTAGCTTGAGGAGCGTGCCGTACTGGCGGGCGCCCTGCAAGATGGCCACTGGATCGGGGCCCGCCGCCGGCGCCGGCGCCGGTGACGCCGCCGGCGTCCCTTGGGCCTCGAGGAGGAAGGGGAGAGCCAGCAGGACCAGCGCGCACAGCAGAGGAGTCGGCGACGACATGGCGGCAGCCGCCGGTGGGGTATGGGATGCGGCAAGAGGGGAGAGAACGGTCGTCGGAGAGGGAAGGGGAGATGGGGCCGTCGGTGAGCCCTTCCACAGTCTGTATATAGTGTATATACCATTTAAACAATGTCGGAAAATCACGATTACCGCGTTTTCTTGGCCCTTCGATCACATTCCGCATGGGAAAGAGTCATTGAAGACGTATTTTCTTTGCTGACATTTTGAGACCTTCGCAACCCGAGTCTCGCCGGGTTCTCCAAGGATACACGTTGATACACACCCGATCACACATCCTCTCTCTCTCTCTCTCTATTTCTATATATATAAATATCTCTTTCTCTCTCCTCTGTGATGTCAAGACGTTACATGTCGGGGACAACCACTATCAAGCAGAACAGATCAACCACTGCGGGGGACAACCTGTTATAACATGCGAATAATACTGGCGGTCAACGTCTAATGTGGACGGCCTTCCTGCCCAGGAGAGGGGAGAGGAGTATGAGGTCAGGAAGAGAGCCCAATAGGCCCGTTATTTACACGGGCCTGGGCCCTGTACAGTTTCAATCGACTAAGGCCCGGCCCACACCGGTCCGGTCCTGGCCGCCAACCCCCCAATTCTAGCCCCTGGTTCATAAGGTTTTTATGACGTCATGGTGTCCTAATAAAATCTATTTGACATGCGCCTTCTGCCATCGCTGCGGGAGGGGCGGCGGCGGGCTGGCCTCTTTCTATTTCCTCTCTCGTCGGCAGTTTGGGTCAGAGACTGGCAAGGAACGGCAATGGCTTCTTCTTCGGCTCCTCGCTCGGCTGCGTGATCGACGAGAATGGAGAGCACAGTGACGGCGTTGTGCGCCGACTACCAGTCATCGCTGTACGAGGATGGAACTGTCTAAATCTCGGTCCATTCTGGACCATAAGCCCTAACCTCGCACCGGTGCCAGGAAATCAGAAAAACACTCGGGGTGATGAAGAACATCGCAGTGGATCTCGAGAGGGATAAGATGTCGGTTGAGGTTGACCGACCAGCTGCTCCGATTTCTTTACTGCAACCGGCAATCTTTAACTTTCATCTGTTTGGCGCTGGAGGGGGTTTTGGAACTTCTGAACGCTTCGGATGACTGCGCTCATTTCTCTTCTGCGGTCAAATCTACTGGAGATGCGTACGTGCCTGGAACGCAGGTGATTGCAGCTCCTTGTATTGTACTCTCTTTGGTCGTTGCTCATAACGAGTGCTAATTTTTTTAATTCTTTTGGCATCGACGTTTCTGTATTGTAGTCCATCGACTTTGGGAACTTGTTGAAGAATGAATGCAAACGGCTCAAAATGGACACCTCCCAATCCTCAAAAAAATTCACTATATCGGCAGTTCAAGGAAGCAGTCTGGGTATACATCCAGTATACCATGAATCCTTTGTTATAAATTCGATTGCCTATTCTGTAATTCTTGTAATGGCGGATGTAAATATCGAAGATCTCTATTCAGAGTTTCCGCACATTAATATATTTTCGGTTGTTACGTGGACTTATTTGAGATGCGTAGAATCTTAAATAAATAAATAAATTCCATATAAATGATATTGGGACAATGATACTCGACTACATGGTCCCTATCCTATTACTAGTACTAGGATCTTCTTTTCAATTCATTTGAATGATTTTTTTTCGCCTCCTTGGAGGAAGTTACTGGGCATTTATTTATTGTTTTCTAGTGTTACAGAGGAGGAGAAGGTAAGCATACGACATGGATGCGAAGGGAATCGTGTCTCAATATTCTGCAAGACAATGATTTTCTTTGAGGTTATTGAAAAAGTGGGGTAGACATATCCAAAAGAGAAACTAGGATTTTAGAAAGCGAAAAATACTTGTTTAAGTTGTCATGGCAAGAATTTTTTGGGGAACAGTTTAACAGTAGTCAGGAAGGATGTTTTGATTAATAGAGATTTTTACACCTTGATATATAGGACTTGTGAGGAGAAATCACTTATTTTAGAATTTAGAAAAAAAAAGTAATATAAAAAATCTAAAAGCGAAGAGTACACATAGAGGGTGTGAGACATCATTCTCATTGTCGAAAATCATCTATAGAAAAATACTACTTAGAAAATAAGTGGTTGTGTGAAAGCTTTGAAAACAAAAAGTACATATGAAAGGTGTGAGACGTCATTCTTATTATCAAAATTTGTCTACAAGAAAAGCTATTTATTCACTATATATATATAAAATAAAAAATATAGTATAAATTTCAAAAATTAAGTCATAGAAAAAAGAAAATATATGATAAATATTATTCTCGAATGAATATTGATAATTGAAACATCTTGTGAATTATATTTATGAGTGAAGAAATGATAAAAGTGTGAATAGAGAAGTGAACTCTAGATTGTTATTTTGAAGAGTGCTTCAACATTTAAGTGCTTGACATCATTTTGAAATACTTATTATAAAAATCCAAAGTGTCTAGAGGTACATCATTTCTAATTTTATTTTCATGGATTAAAATATGATGTTTGAAAATTTTAAGAATGACTAGCAATGATTTAAGTTGTGAGGTATGATAAGTTATCATTATCATAAGTTAATAATTAATTAATAATATATTTTAAATCTTAACTTATGATAAATAGGCTTACATTTATGTTAAATTATGAAAAGTGATTTTTAGTTGATTAATGTGAAATTTTAGCTAATTATCTGATTTTATGTGAATTTATATAATTTTTATAATCATTTTTTTGAGATAAATAAAGAGAAATAAAATAAAATAAGAATAGAGTAAAAAGAAGGACCCGCCGATCAGGCATGCCTACAAGTGGGTCAGAAACATAGTCAAGTAGAGCCATAAATAGTGTGCTTGAGTAGCTAAGGGTTGGTAGGTGATAAGTTTTCATTATTATGAGTTAATAATTAGTAAATAATATAGTTTTAGCCTTAACTCATGATAAATAGACTTATATTTGTGTTAAAGTGTAAAAAATGATTTTTAGTTGATTAACATGAAATTTTGGGTAATTATGTGATTTTATACAATTTTTATAGTCTTACTTTTGAGATAAATGAAGAACAAGAAATAGAAATAAAAATATTGTAAAATGGGGGGATCCGCTGGCTAGTCGGGCCCGCAAGCAGATTAGAAGCTCAGTCGGGGAGTAGCCGCGAGTAGGGGCTCGAGCGGCTTGAACCGATAGGGGCACATGTGTGCGCCACTCCCCTTCCATGTCACTAGTGGCCAGCCGGCTGTGGGGTAAGGAGTGGTCGTACATGCGAGAGAATGGACTTTGCTTAGAAGCTAACATTACTATATATTCGTCCGAAAAATTGATGCACAATCGATGTGGGACTAAACCCGTGTCACACCTTCCTCAAAAGAGGCGGGCGATCGGCATAGGTTTGAGTCCTTCTAGAGCCAAAAGTTATATATTTTTATCTAATTATCGTGACATTCTTGTAGATCGTCGGTGAAGGATTAAGCAACGAGAATCGCTAGATCATCGGCGAAAATCTCGTCAACGCGATTCGCAGAGTATTGCTACTAAAATTGCTAAAGAATTCACGATAAAAGGATCACAAATCTATCGAGTAAATCATCTCTAATTGATCAATGAACAAGCCATCGTCGGGAAGAGGATGATTCGCCGGGAGACAAGTCGTCACCTCTTGAGAGCGTACCAGATGCGATGAAGAGCCTCCTCTTGCTACAGGGACCTGAGGATGAAGCTCCCTGACACACGTCCCACCTCCATCCAGCTCCTCTCCATCGGGTGACAACCACCGGAGAGCTGCAAAGTCACTGTTTTTTCACTCCGCCGGGTGACAATTGTTGGAGACGATTCAATAACCCATTTCATTAATCTCTAGACTTTGTAAGGAGATCTAGAGATTGCCCACGTCATCTTTGTCCAAGGAGAGCCTTCGAGGTCATAGACACTGCACGACAATCCTCCCGAACGCTTGGGATTTTGGTACATTGCCGACGCATCACCGTCGTGACGCCGGAACTTTGTTTTCCTGCTTTCAACTTACTTTATGCTTCATTTAATGATAGTTTTTGTGATTTTAATTTACCAAAATATACTTTGTTCTATTATGATTCTTTTGGCTTTTACAAATCTTAATTTGATCAATTAAATCGTCTATAATTGCTTACGTAAGAATCACTAGGCGGAACTCTATTTCTGCCCGATTTGCGTTTGCTGGGCGTTGACGTCATCTTGAAGTCCACACCCTTGCTTCCCTTTTTTGTGAATTTTAAATATATTTTCTTTTCATTTCCTAGTATAAAATTAATAGAAAATCGTATTCATTGAGAAAAATTCTAAATAATTACCATATATTATATTACATCCCTGTGATTGACCTAGAAAATTACTACTATTTTTTGGAAATTTTATTGAATTATAATTGATATATTTATTTAGAAATACTTCTAAATATCTAAAAATTCATATTTTCTAGTTTTATAAATTTTAGATTTGCATGATTTAGTATACAACGACTGAGTCACGTCAGTAGGACACTTGTGCGTTATTCCCTTTCTATGTTACTAGTGGGTAGTTGGGTGTGGGGTAAGGAGTGGTCGTACACACGTGAGAGAGAGAGCGATTGAACATAAAAAGTTGTATTACTATATATTTGTCTAAAACATTCAAAAATAATTAATGTGGTACTAAATCCGGTCACCATTTACTGTCACTTATTTTTAATATTTCTATACTTATAATATGCATGAATGATAAGAAAACAATATCTTTATGATGTCACTAGATAGATATTAATATACTTATGTCACTCTCTCTCATGCAAGTAGGAGATTAGGGAAGGTTTGAATCTCACTAGAGTCAAAATTTATATTTTTATGTAATTAAATAATTATTTTTATGTAGAGTGTTAATCAATGATTAAGTTATCTCATAATCACTCAATTATCAAGAAAAATCTCATTAATGTGATTCTCAAAACATCGTTATCCTAAATTACTAAATGATTATAGATAAAAGGATTGTGAATCTATCAAGTAAATTATCTCTAATTAATCAACAAATAAATCACCATCGGGAAGAGGATGATTTGTTGGGAAATGAGTTGCTACCTCTTGAGAGTATATTAAATGCAATGAAAAACTTTTTCTTGATATACAGATCTAAGGATAAAGTTACCTAAGACATGCCCCACCTTTATTTAACTTATCTTTGTCGGATGACAGCCACTGAAGATCTACAAAGTTGTCATTTTTATATTCTACCAAGTGATAGTCATCGAAAATGATTCGTTGACTCACCACCTTGATTTTTAGACTTCACAAGAAGACTTAAAGATTACCCACTTTGTCATTGTGCAAGGAGAACCTTTGAAGTCATGGACATTAGATGATAATCCTCCCAAATATGAAATTTTGGTGATTATCACTGTGAAGTTGGAACTCTACCTTTCTTACTTTCAATTTAATGTTTACTTAATTTAGTGATTTCAAAGTTTGAAACTATTTTTTATTAAATTAAAATTAATTTTACTTTTATAGAACTTAATTTGATCAATTAAATTATTGTGCGGAACTTTGTTTCTACCTAATTTGTGTTCATTGGGCCACTAACATTATCTGACATCCACACACTTATTTCTTTTTTTTTAAATTTAAATAGATTTTATCTTCATTTTTTAGTCTAAGAATTATAAAAAAATCATATTTTTTACAGAAAAATTGAAATATCACTTGATATTATATTACATCCCAATGATCGACCTAGAAAATCTTCACTATTTTTGATTTTTTTATTAAATTATAATTAATATATTTCTTTATAAATATTTCTCAATATCTAAATATTAATATTTTTTAGTTTTATAAATATTTAATTTATGTATTGAATAAGCAATGATTAAGTCATGTTAGACGACAAAGAGGTGAAATGACTTCAAGAACAAACATGTTCAATAGGATGGAGTGACAAGAAGAAAAATAAAGAGAGGTCCCCCTAATTGAAGAGGGCAAGAAGAAGATATCCCTAATCCAAGAGGCTAGCAAAAGAGAAGAGAAACTTGTAATTCAAGAGACGAGTGAGAGAGAAGAGGAACTCCTAGTCCAAAGGTGAGAGATAACAACTTTCTTGATTCTAAATTCAACTTCAACTTCTTTAAGTATTCTTGAGTTTGAATATTTATAGAAAAGAGAGGAAGGTAGTTAGAGGTGTCCCCTCCCAAAGGATGTCAAGTGGTGTCTCTTGGAGGGAGAGGTGCCTTA